AAGATTAGCCAAATTTAGGCCAAAAATACGCAAACTAATTTTTTACATATAAAAATTTTGATAAAAAATACGCAATCTTGATGACCTAACTATAGATGAAAAATTCTAAAATTGTACGCAAATCAAAACTTTACTCTAATTCCACTATGATGGCGACGCATCTGTGTACCCTACCCCTGTATATATATTTCTGGGTCCTGGTGGCTTTGACAAAAATTTACTCAGCAGGAATGCTGGATGACCTGAAGGATTTATTTATTTAAATCAAAAAAAGGAGAAAGCTAAAAAAGCATGGATAATTATTCTGATATTGGAATAATGTATTCGTCGGATCATGTGATACCAATGATGGCAAGTGAGTCATTTAGTCACGTGTCATTGGTTATCGCATATATCACGTGATTATAAATTTGTAGGTACTAATCATAAATTAAATGGAACCTGCTTAGTGTATTAAATGTCATTTCAAAATAGTTAAATGACCTTACTTTGATTAATAAGTTATCCTTCGTCCGAAAATTGATGTATTTTTACGTCATTTATTTTATTACTATACCATCATTGTGTGACATGTAACATTTGCGGTCACTGATATTTTGGACGTCTCATTTCAACTTAAATGACCAGAACCAAACTACACTGATTACACTTTAATCATCATGCAACTCTCTTACTTTTTTTTGCGTGTATAGGCCGTTAGTCCTAAATTAACATAGATGAGTGGCTCCCCAATAATTCATAAAAAGAGTTTGGCAATAATAAAAATTACTGATGCTAACGCGAAAAAAGAGAAGGGTTTAAGAAATTTATTCCTTGTCCAACTAATATGCTTACAGTTCACAGTGTAAAATTATCAACAAAATCAGGTGAACATGTCACACTAACAAATGAAATTTATCCTTTCATCAGAACCTAACAAAATCCGTCTAGTTTCAAAATTGAGGAATCACCAAAACTTAATATTCCTACCAAATCTCCTTTTCAGAAGTTTTCTTTGATAAACATAGTGAGACACACTTTTGAGAAAGTAGTGACCTCATTTGCGTACAGGTATTTCTTAGAAGTAGAAGGAAGAGATCTTACTTTTATTAATCATGAGATTGATTTACCTGATCGGTTGCATAAGTGGTTCTTGGACGTTAAAGTAACATTATTTTTTAGATAAGCGTCTAGTACAGTACAGTACTGAAATTTTAGTATTAGAATTGTCTCAATCTCCAGGCTCCAACGGCATCAATTTACATTTAGAAATTTGGATCAATATGGTGTGTGATGTATTATTTATTGTAATATCAATTATTTATCTGCGGAATGAAATAAAAAATACAAATGTGCATCATCATCTTACATCGTCATCTTATATAAATTTACTGTAATAATCACTTAGCAGTAAATTAACGAGCGCTTACAGCAAAATTCGAAATATAGTGGACACTTGAAAATTTTTATTGTCGGGATTGTCAGGTACTCGGATTACTCGGCTAGTCGGGTTATTAGAAAAGAAAATAACACGGTATACCTTAATTAAATTTTAATATAACATAATTACATTATATAGCAGATAGTATATACAATTATACTTTTTTATACTTTATACTACGTCATCATGATATATATACAGTATATATGTCACGTGTTATATATCTTTTCTAATAACTCGACTAGCTGATAACCCGAGTACCCCAACAATAAAAATTTTCAAGTATCCACTATATTTCGAATTTTGCTGTTAACCACAATTTGATTGATACATTAACGTGCGGTAGACCTTTCATTAATGTAACAAAATTCATCATCAAGTTTGCTTATTAGATCATGGATTGTATAGAAAAGGTAAAAAAAGAGAACGCCAATTTTAAATTAGTTTTAAAAAGAAAAATACTACGATATGTTATCGCTCGTCGTTTTTTAATTTTTATTCGTCAACCTTTATAATAAAGAGGGTGCTTATTTTCGAGGGGTGCTTAATTTCAATAAAATACAGTATTAAAAAAATATTAATTTTTACAATTATATAAATATCAGATTATATAAATTGTTTCAATTATTTGCAGTAAATGATTTTCTTTATTGAATATTAAATCCGACAAAGGCATTAATTCTTGCGAAATATTCTAAAATTATTACAAGGTTATAGCAAAATTATTACATCTAAAAAAAATTAAAAAAAAAAAGATACTGTAAGGCCACGCAAATTAATATTTTCAGTTCACGTAACATTAAAATTTAAAATTAACCCGGAGACCTGGGTTTTATTTTTTATTAATCAAAAATTATTATTATAAGTCACGTGATATGCTAGTTTATAATTAGATAATCTGTATGGGGTTTCGAAGGATAATCAAATCGGTTTATCCCACACAAATACAGGAACATAATTCCTAAAGAACCCCTTTACACGGACAAGGGTGTTTATATAATTCCAGGTTCCAGAGAATGGTTTACTTATATGTATAATTTACACATCAATATACCCCACCTCTTACAAAAGCTCAACGCCACGCCTTACGACTCAATAATGAGTGTATCGAGAGAGACACTAAATGGAGAGAAGATGCAAAATATCATGGGACATCATTCAACCGAATCAACCGTTGACAATATTTAACGTTCTCGATGACTAGATTTTGTGATCGTTTCCACACTGAAATGATGGAATTCAGAGAGCAATACCTACAAACTAATGACGAGGATAAGAAATTACAAATTTATATGAAAATGAACACATACACCACAATATTGTCTGTACCTAACAGAAACCGCAAATCCCTTATCAACCCAATCGCTACCCTTCCTTCGGGCGCTCCAGATGATACTTCTGACGATACAAGAGAACTCAAACTTAGACCTAAAAAATGAAGAATTTCTTCGTATACTAACCTTTACCCATTAATAGATAACAGTGAACGATTCAAACGTAGGCATTCCTCTCCTGCCTTATTGGACGACTCAACAGGAGCGGACCTCAAATGATTTAATATTTGCATTAGTTTTTTGAGTCAAAATTTATTTTTTTACAAGTAGTTTTTTTTCTACATCTTATTTTTATACAATTTATTTTTACACCAAATTTATCGATATATTCAAAAACAATTTAGAATAGTGTGAATCATTCCAACTCTGACAGTATTTACAGTTGGCGACCTTTTGGTTGAAAGAAAAATACGGAACATTTTTTTTATATTTGTTTGTTATACTTTATTAGTGTAGTCTTTTTCTTTTGCTCTTTTAATGGCTACCTGTTCCCTCATCGGTCGGGATGTTGGAACAGTCTATATATAACTATTACGTAGGGTCCGTTCTATGGAATGGATGATGGACTAAGTGTTGGGCATATTTCTTCGGATACATGCTCTCTTAGATAGTTTTTCCGACTTTACATAAAATAAATAAATAAATAAAGAAGGATAATCAAATTTTTTTCATTCCAGTTTGTTACTAAAAATGTCTATCATACATGTACGAATAAGTTACAACCCTGTAACTTTAAAAGATTAGGAAGGTTTACCAGTTGTAAAGGTATAAAATACACAAAGTCCTCATAGCACAGATGACTCATTAAAAAAATTATTTTCTATTGTTAAGGTTAATAATACCCTAACATGTAATAGTCCTATTGAAATTCCATATTATTCAAGTGGATTATTTAAAGAAGCACTTGTTTTAACTGTGGGGCAGAATGTGAAGAAGAAAATAATTATGGAAAGTATTTTCCATATTGTGAAGATTGTAGTGCGTTAAGGAAAATGTTGGTAGTACCATTGGAGATGATAAGATGGAAGCTCAAGGATATGCTACTAAATTAAAGGGAGAAAGTAAAATGGAGAGGAATAATCAGTCGAAAATAAAAAGAGAAGAAGTAAAGAAAATAAATTTGTAAAGTCAAGTAAACGTAAAAAATTTTATCACGTGATTTCAAGTAATAAATCTTTATTATGAATTAGTAATTTAAACATTTTTACATATAAAAATTTTTTAGTCAAATTTTGAAAAAATGACCCGGCCGGGTGAAATGAACCGAAAATATTAGTTTTCGTGGCCTAATAAGTGTGTCGGACTTGTGTTAAAACGGGATTCTGATCGTCAGGACTTTGACAGTGATCGGGGTAAGACTAAATTGATTAAAACTCGATCACATTTAATTGATCCATGTGGTGACGGACCCTATAACAGATAACTAATTTATTAATCCCCCCTGTCGCACTCATGATTACTTTCATACTAATTTTTGAAAATTGCGAGTGATTAGCAGAGTTTATACTTATTTCCGGTCTCATATAGATAGCCGGGAAATTTCTAATTTTAGTTTAAAATTTTACCACATGTTAAGTGACACGCTCCTGGGATCATTTTCTAGTTTTTTATTCCGAAGAAACTCAGACACGTGATCATTTTTCTGAAACATTTTTTATAGAGAGGGTCGGAGGAAATTACTCATTTATTTCCAACTCCCCATGAAATAAATAATACAAATTCGCGTATTTAATTAGTACTGGCTATAACGAATTAGAATTTTTAAATTCGCTATATAAAGGTGAAACTGTACATTGCTTTATTTTGAGTGGAATAAAGGATATATTTTTGTTACATGATTCCGCAAGGAAAATGGTAGGTTAAAAGGAATTTTCATTGTGGGTAAATGCCAGTTATGGTCCAAGCGTTGGAGTTGTTATCTTCAATAACGAGGTTATTATGTGAAAATATTTGTTTGAACGTTGTTATTCATCAACGTGAAGGTGTAACAAGAGCTAACCGCAACAAGTTGAAACCGGCTTGATATGATGTGATTGAATCCTTATTTTATGGTTGGGAGAGATATCTGGGGCAAATTAAATGCTGCCACTTTCGGCTTCCTTTTTCCTGATTCACATGTCAGACTTTGTGGTAATATAGGCTATAGGTGCTGAAGTGGTATTATTGCTATTAGCATATGATTATATTTTGTCCACAGCTATGAAATTGATCTTACGTTATAGCTATACAGATCAATTTTTTTTGATTTATCACGTGTTTAAGTACATTCTCAATTTAAATTATATACAATTCGCAGCAGTAATATGTAGTAAATATAAATGCAGTATTATAAATTTACGTAAATATTTGATTTCGAAATATGTTTAAACCTCTCCGTTAAGAAATTTGAAAAACGCCATTATGCTCATAAATCTTTTTCTCAATAGGTTGAATATTTGTAAACCAATGTATGAGTGCTATTTATTTTACAGCATAATCTCAATACTTTGATATTCATTCACTATTGATATTGAAAAAAAAAAATCAAGTAATATTAAAGTATCTTTGCGATATGGACGTGATGATACGAATTAAATTAATTAAATTAAATAAAATAACCGGATTAAGAAAGTAGGATATTGATATATATTAATATTCCCCGGTGTAAATTAACAAATTTTTTGAGTCCAAAATCTAAGAACATGACCTTTAGAAGTTTTGTTTTCCTTTAAGTCTTCTTTAAGACTTTCTACGATTTCCTTAAATTTCTCTTCAGAAATTCCTATTTCAGCACTCAAATCTTTAATTGCCCTATTTGTGGTAAGAAATAATATTACCACTTCTTGATAAACTAAACCAGGTTTACCACCATGTGGTCCAAAAGTGACAATTTTCTCGTCATGATGAACGACTCCTATATTTTGATGTGATTCAAGTATTGAATTAAGGTGAATTATCGATCTTATATTCACATTTCGTTTTAAACAAGACTTGTAAACTACAATATTTAAAAATAAAAATAATATTAATACTAAGACTAGTATGTAATTATATAATGTGCGTGATTATAATAAGAAATGGATACACTCACATCCTTTATAAATTGTATAGAAATTTGGACTAGATTTATCAATGTTAAGGTATAAATCAGTTATTTCGATATATCCGCCAGGTTTGGTTACTCTGATAAATGATGATTATAATAAAGTCGAATATTAATAATATTGATATAATAAGTTATAAAAAGATAAAAAAAAAATTCTTTTTACCTAATCAGTTCAGAAAGAGTGAAATTCCATTGTTCTGTCGTTAAAATATTCACCATTGATTCTATATGTGTAAAATCAAATTCGTTGTCTCTAAATGGTAATCCATCAAATATATCGGCTTCGATAAATTCAAGATTACATGGTTTTATCTATCAAGTTTATAGAAAAACAATTTAATCTTATTCTTTAAAAATACAACTTTTTTTTTTTTTTTCACTGATGAAATTTTACCTCTTTTGGAAATACTGGCTTTATATCGAGTCCAAAAAGGTTTTATCTATCAAGTTTATAGAAAAACAATTTAATCTTATTCTTTAAAAATACAACTTTTTTTTTTTTTTTGCACTGATGAAATTTTACCTCTTTTGGAAATACTGGCTTTATATCGAGTCCAAAAAAATTTGATTTGTCATATATAGTCGCTAAATCTAATAACCATGTACCGGGACCGCATCTTATATAAAAATACGAAAAAAAATTATTTATATCAAAAAACGTTTAATTAATTAATTTTAATAAAATTTTTCTTTCACTTACGCAACATCTAGTACTTTACACCCTAGAGTTAATTTCTCCTCAACAGGGGCAGAAAAATTACCTTGAAATAAATATTTTATAATAAAATTATGCATATGTTGCCTATCAATATCATTTAAATCATTATTTGATAAATAATACGCTAGTTCTTGTTCTTCTTCATTTACGACTTCTGGTGATACACCTTCTGATAATTGGTTTGGTACTAATTGTGATTTTGATCTTGTTTCTCTTGATTTCAAACACGAATTACTATTACCCATAATTTGAATATTTTATTTTTTCATACAACTTCAAGAAGAAAAAAAATTCATATGTCTAGAAAATGGCTTATTTATTATAATTTTGAAAAGATTGACAATATTTCGGGTGAAACTATCGGATTTTCAAAAAATTTACCATGTTTATTTAAATTCCGATAATTATGGTACATCAATTAAATGAATGTACCAGATTTTCTGATTTTCATATCATCTTTACGGGGTAAAAAGAATAAGAGGTTCAGATGTACATACTTCACGAGTTAAAGAGACAATATTTGCAGAAAGTACAAGAAAATACACGCAAATATTCTCATAAAAACTCTAAATACTGTAAATTAAATTCAAAAGGAGAAATATACGAATTTTACATAACTATCGATTAATGATCGTCATTCCATCGGATGATTTATTTATTATTAGGATCTGCATTCTCCATGTTTAAATTGTCAATCAATCTAAATCGGTATGACACATAATAAATTTTAAATTTTTAATAATTTTATTTTTTTTAAAAAAAAAACATGACATAATTTTTTACAAAATATAAATAAGTTTTTGCAATTATAGTGTTTGTGTATTTATTGTCAATTGCTTTAAATTTCACCCTAATTTTTAATATAACGACAGTGCCTATCCTTAGACGAATTGCGAAGATACGTACAAAATGTCATGGATTTGACCAATTTTGATAATTTGAGAAAATTTGTAATCTCCTTTCCTTTTTATGTTAAATAAAATCTATTCACGTAATAAAAAAATGGGATTTTACTACTTGCTAAACTGGTGAAAACTCGCATCCTTTCCAAATCCTTTCCAAATCTTTCTAACGTCCTATACATGGGGGTGTAATTATTCCAGATAATTCGGCATTTAGGCGGCGTAATGGTGAAATTTATTACACCAAACTTTTGTTCAAAGATTTATATTCCCTATAAAAACGAAATGTGTTAAACCTGTTTTATATTTGTACTCTTGTGTAATAAATGTCTATAAAAGCACCATTTTGTTTAATTTTGTTTTTTGTAATAAGATATAAATCGGACAAAATGGTGTTTTTTTAGACATTTTTTACGTATGAACACAATTCATTTTTATAGGGATTAAAATAGTATTATGCCGAAATTTTGTAATGTAATATTTCGGGATGGCTTGAACCTGACGGTAAGACGAAAAGGAGTGGTATCGAGTTAACCAAAAAAGTATAGTATGGTGTGAAATCGATATTGAGTATGATTTAGATAATAAAATTATACTTAACTGTAATAGAACGAAAAAAGTATTGTATTTATATTTTTTTTATTTATAATTATACTCAACTGCCATATTAAGTTAAAATTGAAGAAAATTTTATTGTGATTAATACTAATTCTTAATTAGCTAATTTCAATTGACGCTCCTTTTCACAATTATTTTTGTTTCACGTTCCCTTAAAGCAAGTTCATATTCTTTTAATGCTAAAAACTAAATATATTCAAGCTCTTTAAGCTTTAAAGCCAACTTACTTTCTTTATTATTATCTTCTTCAAAATCATTTGGCATTTGCGAAGGACAATGTAATTTAGGATTTTGTTATGAAAATGGTATAGGAACGTCTAAAAATGACAAACAAGCATTTGAATGTTACATGAAATCAGCTATTGGAGGAGATGGTATTTAAAATCAGCATACAATGGAAACAAAATTGCACAAAATAATTTGGGAATTTATTACTATTATGATAAAGGGACATATAAAAATGAGAAGAAAGCATTTGAAAGGTACATGAAATCAGCTATTGCAGGGTATGCTGAAGGGCAATGTAATTTAGGATTTTGTTATGAAAATGGCATAGGGACAATTAAAGATAACAAAAAAGCATTTGAGTGGTATTCTAGATATCTGAAAATGGAAATGCGATAGCACAAAATAATTTAGGAGCTTGTTATCAACAACTATATAAGAATGAAATAAAAGCATTTGAATGGTACATGAAATTAGATGTGCTGAAGGACAATATAATGGTTATGGAAATAGCTAGGAGTGGCTAAGAATGAAACGAAAACGTTTGAATGGTATTCTAGATCGGCGAAAAAATGGAAATTTGATAGCACAAAAGAATTTAGGATTTTGTTATTCAAACGGTATAGGGACAGATAAAAATGAAGCCAAAGCATTTGAATGTAGCAGAAAATTGAAATGCATAAATATGATAAAACTGAGACGAAAGCATTTGAATGGTACATGAAATCAGCTATTGCAGGATGTGCTGAAGGACAATGTAATTTAGGATGTTGTTATGGAAATGGCTAGAAACTGATAAGAAGTAAGAACATAGAAAAACCTTTTATATGGTATTTAAAATCAGCTGAAGGTGGAATGCAACATCACAACATTATATAGGAGCTTGGTATTATAATTAATAAAAATAATGACGAAGCAATTAATTGGTACAGAAAAGCTTCATATAACAGAGTTGAAGAAGCAAAGAATGAACTAAATAATATTCTATCAGGTATGCAACATTAATTATTACAATTTTACGTTAGTAATTATTTAATTCTACATATAATACTTTGATATATAAAACTGATTTGAATCTACTAATAAATATCGTGTTTTTAATTAACGTGAATAATATAAGTTGAGTTTTTACTTCTTACGTTCCCGCATAAAGTACAGAGAGTATCATATATAATATTGATGAGAATTTTTTAATTTCCCAGAATAAGCGGTAAAATAGAACATAGAAAGATATGACACATTGTAATAATAATCCTAACTTACTACCAAAGCATAACTTCGCAACCAAACAATATATACTATAAATTCCTATTTTTTTTTAAATTGTGACCCCGGTTATGAAAAAAAAAGGAAGACCATGAATTGTATGTACTGTAAATATGCTAAATAGTGTATGTAAAATTTTCAGGAAAATTTTACGAGGCTTTAAAATATAATTTATACGCTAAATTTATAAAAATCGGTTTATTATTATTACAATGATATGGATGTGACATATTTTCTGGATCTTGTGATCCATAAATCTATGATAATCAAACTCTTATCGCAACAACAGTTGTTAAAGTGAATAAAGTGAATAATAGTCAGGATGAAATTATATTTTAGTTAGGAGTTTAAAGATTGTTATTCTTATTAACCTTAATTTTTGGTACATCATTTTTACCGTTTTTCGTTCTACTCGTGTGAATTTTATTTGATGTTCCGAGTTTTAATTTATCTTAGGAGAACCAAATCAATAAAATAAAGAGACTTTAACTATCATTATCAAAATGCAGATTCATAATTTAGATATCAGTATATGTTTAATGTGAACAGATCGGTATTCTTGATACATAAATGTAACAAAACCAACAGAGATGTTAAATATTTAAATATTTAAACATGAAAAACATCAATTCTTTTTAATAGACAATTGTATTCACAAGATATAAAACAAAATAAACTATTTTTTTCGTTCCTTATTCAGTTTTTTTTGAGCGCGTGCATCCTAATATTTCTAAGACCTTGTTTTGTTGATCAACACCCCGGACTATAGTCCGAATCTGTAATAATAGAACATCCGATTCTTTGATGAAGTAAGCTCTAGTGCGACGCTTCCTGGATACAATATTTGAGAGGACACTCGTATCCAATTTGGTGTTAGTCGAAACTACGATTTCAATAATTACAATAATTTCCATAAGACGTTATTTCATTTACATATTTTTATTTGTCTAAACCATAATACAAGATAGAAACAAAATAAAAATAGAATGTTGAATGAGAATAGGAAAGTATACTAATTTCTAATTTGAGTCGTTGCTTCATATGTTTAAGAAATAGTAGTTGCATTATTTTCTTTGGGACTACAGTCTTATCTCGATGTAACGAACTTACGATGTAACGAACTTTCGACTTACCGAACTTTTTTTTAAAACCAGTTTCATAGTATTTAAAAACATCTTAATATACCAAACATCATATAAACTTTATATAACGTATACCGAACTTTTATTGATTTACCGCTTATTATAAAACATAAAAAATTTTTGATATACCGAACTCAGTCACATGATTTGCCAATTTCGCCTGAAATTAATTAATTTCGGCCAGAATTAGAACCACTTAATTTTGCCTAAATTAATTGATGCCAAGACATCTTAATTCTGGCCGAAATTGGGACATTAATTACGTGATTTTCTTTTATATACCTAGGGGTTCGGTATATAAAAAATTTTTCTTTACCGAACTCTACTATATACCGAACTTTTACCCCAAACTTTGGGTTCGGTAATCGAGATTTGACTGTACTTATTTAAGAATAGAAACTATTTCCGAGATTCTCTGGTTCAAACTCCCAACATCCTATTATGTAATGTACAAGTTAGATAGTAGTTAGATGTGTGTTTCTGTTACGAAATAAGATTATTCGCTACTAATTTTCCGAAGAAAATCTCTCCAGGAATTTTATACTTACTTTTATAGAATTTAACATATTCACTATTTGTGTTTGGAATGGGAATTTCTCTTTTACCATTTATAATGCGGATTTCCAAACTATTATCTGTTTCGAAAGGTGTTCAATTGCAAGAATAATACCTGGATCTATGTAAGGCGTAACGCCATATGCTTTTTCTTTTTTGTCGATAACTGATCCGTATAGATGTGAACGTCCAAAATCTGTGATCTTTATCGTATGTTTGATGTACCATGCTTACTGAGTTTTGTAGCAACGATAATCCCGATATTTTCATTTACTACTTTACCTATAAACTTCGAGACTTCACATAGTTTAATTATATTCGGATGGATATCAACCTTTCCCAATAAAAAAATCTAAAAAAATAAAATTACCATATGGATAACAAATTTCCTCTTAAATATTAAAAAGTACATGTAAACAAAATAATACCTCATTAACAACGTCATTCATCAAACTATTGACGAAATCCTTTTAATTACATATGTTGTTGTTGTTCCATTCATTTGCAGTATGAATCACCGATAATCTTTGAAAAATCTCAAGGACAATAATTTTTATAATAAGTAGACCGCTTTATTAAATTCGGATCATTTACATATATAATTTACGGGAATATAAGCTATCACATCATTAGGCTATACTTGATCTGAAACTGCCCCATATGTTGAAGCAGAGACTTCGCCGTTACCATTGTTACTACCACTTCTATTATTTTTTTCACGGAGTTTTTCATAATAAGACAAGATTGCAAAGTAGAAATAAACCTATTGATTCAAAACAATCGTCAGAGAAAACTATATACATGAAAAATAAATCATCTAAATCATTAAATACCTGCATAATATCAGCGATAACTATTAATAACGTAAAAAGAAATATGAGAGTTGTATAAATGGCAATACAAATTCCACAACCCCCTACTTGACAATAATCTGAAAGATTATAAAAATAAATTGATATAGTAAAAAAAGTGGACACTATGAAGTCAAAAATTACCGCGACCAAATAGTAATTGACAAAAATTGTAACATATAAAAAATTATCCTGAATTAAATCAAAAAGGACATTAGCGAAGAATTTGATAACCTTGGGATACACTTCGGGTTATGAAAATTTACCAGAATTATGCCGACGAATCCGAGAACACAAATTATAAACCTGAAAATGAAAATAAAGAAAAATGCGAGATTTGTGTCATAACGAACAGAGGCACAGGCACAGATAAGATTGAGAAACTATATTGTTTCGTAGAGACAGAGGTAAGTACAATTAAGAATTATAAAATGCTCCCATTGTTTTTAGAAAATATGAACTTACAACTGCAAGAGCGGCAATAAAAAAGACACCCGATCTAAATATACATAAAGCGTTATATATGTTATTCAAAAATCATAAAAATTTAGTACAATTTTCTTCTTACTTAAGATTTATACAAAAACAAAAGTTGTTCATAGTCAACAAACTAATTGTTAGATTGATATAAAACAATTGCTAAAGTTCTTGAAATTCTGCGCAATGACGCAATGTCGCAATGTGGCTAACAATTTAAAGGATCATTTTAAATGTGTACAGATTGTTACTAAAATAAATAAATTACATATAAAAAAAGGGTATATTATCTGTTATATAAGGTTTTTCTTAATTTAGTTCGATTATTCACCTGCACGTGACCTCACTTGTCACTTCTAAATTTGTGTGATATCTAAAATTTATTTTAATTGGATTGCTTTTGATAATGTTATTGACAAGGTTACTGAAATGTCGATGTCGTCATCCAATAATAAGTTACACGTATCATTTCAAGTATCGATGCTTTAAAAGTATATATGGATATGATATGATAGTAGATAATTAACAATTAATTCTATAATAATGTAATTAATAAAGTTTTAATATAATAATAATATTATAACGTTATATTGTATTTATTGTAAGTGTTATTCATTGTTTACATATTGGGCGTGTGTACGAAATTGATTCGTGTGCACAAAATTGATTTTTGAAGTTTCCATTCCCAGTCACCCGCGCGCGTTATATCAAGATTTTGTATGCTTCTTCGTGTCATTATCTTTCTAACAAGGAAAGCATTGAAAACAACGACTTAACAAGGAGGTTTGGTGAGTACTGACACGTTATAAAAAAGAACCCGAATTTAAAGTTCATACTTAATATTCTTAAAGTATCAAGCGTATTTCGTGTTGAATTAGTGTTGAATTTTTATTATTTGTGATTATTTCCTTTTTTTTACATGATAATCTTGTAACTGATTAATGATATAATATTTTAAAAGATTCTGCGAAAGATTCATATTACTAGTTTCCAGATCTAATACATAGGAATCGATCGATGCGATAAATGTGACCCATGATCAATATACCCCTATAACTCTATAAGTATTAATCATGACTCATGAATATTAAACTTTTTTTTACACTATTTTTTTACTTTTTTTAAAAAAAATTGAGTCCTTTATGAAACAATCTTGTAACTGATTAATGAGATGAGAAATGATTCTGTAGTGATATTACGCAATTTATAAATAAAAAAGTTTTTTTAATTTGATGGTAGTTTAGTAGTTTAATAAAAAGATTCATATTACTAGTTTTCAGATCTAAATACTAGGAATCGATGTGATAAATGTGATTTACGATCGATATACCCCATAAATATTAGTCATGCTCATTTTCAATATTAAACTTTTTTTTTTTACATTTTTTTTTACTTTTTTTTACTTTTTTTAAAAAAAAGATTGAGATTTTTTTTTATCAAGATTCAAGATTTTATGAGTCATTATTTCCTTTATGAATCAATATAGTAAAATATATAAACAAATCGAGATCTTGTAATTTTGATTATCAAATCATGTGTCACTATAACATCGAAGTTCCCATATCATCTACTGTGTAAAAGGTTGTTTAAAAAGTATAAATATACCCTCAAACTCCCTCAAATTTCTCAATACTTTCATTTTTTTATCAAAAACTTCAAATAAACGTATTCATATAATGAACTCACTCACTCAGAAAAATAAAAGTACGGAATATATTTCGTACTTATTATTTATTCTCAATAATTTATTTTTCATTTTCTTATCAAAAACTTCAAATAAATATATTCATATAACGAACTCAGAGAAATTAAACTCGTACTTTATGGAAAAATATATTCAAATATGAAATTTTTCCTTTTTACGAACTCATTTTCATAAGAATATCTTTACCTGATAGGTTCTTTAGATCTTCTTTTGTTTTTCGATATTAGAAAAGAAAAATATATTTAATATGAAATTTTCTTTTTTATTTTTTTTTTTTCCAAGCAAGACTCGTGACAATTCTTTCTTGGTTGGCAATAAAATAACACAAACAATACTAATGTTGAAAATAAAGAATATAAACTTGAATTTTCTACCAAAGATGAAAGAATGTAATATAGTATGGATTGTATTTACGAATTAAGTTTATGGTAGACCAATATTAAGGTAAGCATGCGCTCCCTGCTTGCATAGTTTTAATGATACAGGTTTACAGATAAAAAAAGTTGAAAGGAAGTATATATGAGAAACTGGCTTTCCTGGAGGAGAGTTAGCCTATGCACCTGGCTCTTATGTATGATGTCATATTGTCAGTGGTATCCCAAAGGACCATTACAGTAGGGGTTAAAAAAAAGTGAAAAAATAAAAGAAAAAAAATATATAAAAAAAATGAAAAAAAAGTGAAAAAAAAAATGAAAATGAAAAATAAAGAAAAAAATAGAAAATAAAAGAAATATATATATATATATATATAAGAAAAAAGGTGAAAAAATGAAAATGAAAATAAAGAAGAAAAAAAAAGAAAAAAAAAACAAAAAAAAAACAAAAAAAATCTTTATTGTGCAAGTTCTGGGGTATCCACTTGAGTAGTATGATACCATCACCTTCCTGGAGACTTTTTTTTTACGCGTATGGTGGTGGCTGATTTTTCTTCCACCTGGTACCAGCCATACTAATGACTTTTTTTTCTTGTTATTTATAGATCCTATTTAATAGTACTTGTGATTAAAGAAGAATAGTTGAAATTAGTGTATACCATCATCTATTTATAAGGTAAGCATGCAACCCACAAGCATACATCACTCAATCTAGCGTGGAAAGATTTACCGTGGCAGTTTCTCCAGCACCACCACTTGCCATCCAGGTATGCCACTCTTTGTGAAGGTTGTCTTTAAATGGTTTATTTATTAAGACATCTAGAAGCTGGCAAATGCTGGTTAAACCACCAGGAATTACTGCCAGATTGAACCCGCTCTCATGAAATTTTTTTTTACAGATCCTTCCAAATGACCTTTGAATGAATCATACACTAACATTGCTGGATTCCTTCGAGTGCCATTTTTTGACCTTATATCATTGAAGTAATCAATGTACTTTAACATTAAACTTGAGTCCATCCAACCGTTTTTTGGAACCAAACTACAACACCAGGAAGAACTTGTTCGTTGCGTGGCATTTGTTTTCCTTTGAAAATACAAATTGGCAGTAGTTTAGTTCTATCTATGATATTGCAATTTAATAAATTTGATTTAGTAGCAAATTGTTATACCAAAATGAAAGATGGTTTTAAAATAAAAGGAATACCTGCAGCACATGTCAAAACGACGGTGAACCGATTTTTTTCATTACCTGTTGCGTGAATATGAACTGTTTTTTCACCCTTTGGATTTATGGTAAAGTGCCAGCCAGTCATATCAAACCAAACGGGCGTTTCGTCCATATTAAAAATATTTTCCAATTCTTAGGATTTTTTGACCCTAAGGTTAGTTACAAATTGATTGAATTTCTCCAACTGTTACTTGGAAGCTTTTGGAGATCCTAGTGCATCGTCTCAGTGTTAAATTGTATCTTTTCAAAAATCCTCTTAACCAATGATAAGAAGTTTTGAAATTTTCTGCAAGTTCTCCATAAAGTTCTAGAATTTCCTCCCTTAAAATTTCTAACATTTTACTTCGTAAAATACAGGCATACAGCTTCCTTTGCTCAATTATCCAATCATACAGCCTTTTTTTAGCTTCGGGAAAAAACGCTTTTCGGCCAGAACCAACTCACTTACTTTTTCCATTAGTTTCAACATTCCAGGTCAAACTTGCTTTTACCCAGCGTCCTACCATACTACGATGAATATCAAATTGTTCCGCTGCTTTATTATTCCCATATTCCTCCGCGTATTTAATGACCTCTATCTATTGTTCTACGGAATATGAGGTTCTTTTACGTTTACAACGAGCAACTTTTCTTGGCATTTTTTATTTGTTGCACTTGGCGTAGCAATTGGCGTAGTAAAACAGGTGTGTAAACTAGTTCGCGACTTTTACGTAACGCATGTTAAATGATTAGCGATCGCGGGAGTCATGTTAAATGATCGGCGATCACGGTAGTTCTGTTATTTAATCTTTTTACAAATTTTATTTCCAGTTTATTATTAATACGAAATTTAATCTTTTAGCTATACATTTTTAAAAAAAGTTGAGCTACCCGAAAATAAGCAACGTTATAACAAAAAATATGTTGTTTATTTTCAGAGGAATACGGTAATAGGAAATCTGGTCACGCCTCGAATTTAAATAACAGGCAGGACGACCCTGTTAGGGGTTGGGTTTATAACGTTATATATAGTTTACCATTTGTATACGGTAATAACTTACAGGGTTTTCCCTTGTTATTGTTCCAGTCTACGTCTATAAAATAAAATAAAAAAAAAATCATTGCTAAAATAACAAAAGAAACTTTATAGCTAAGAATAACATTTCTTATAAATAAATATACAACTATTATGTTAATAACGCGAATAAGAAAATTATATTAAAATGCCTTGTTATTGTACTATTTCAGTACATTGTGTTTTTATTCAAAACCTTGCGGTATTTGCCGATTTTTTAATGTTGTAATATCGTTATTCATTTTTTTCGCAATAACTTGAAATTTATCCAAATGTTATTTAACCATAAATGACCTTTTGGCTTATGTATAATAATTTTAGTCTTAAATATAGCTAAGAATAGAAGTCAAAATGCGCATTTACAGATCTTTATGCGCATAATATTCTGATACCTGTGATACATGCAATTGTGTTTTTATTCAAATCCTTGCGGTATTTGCCGATCTTTAATTCATTTTTTCGCAATAACTTGAAATTTGTCCAAATGTTATTTAACCATAAATGACCTTTTGGCTTATTATGTGTAATAATTTTTAGTCTTAAATATAGCTAGCTAAGAATAGAAGTCAAAATGCGCATTTACAGATCTTTATGCGCATACATGTGATACATGCAATTGTGTTTTTATTCAAATCCTTGCCGTAGTTTGCCGATTTTTTAATGTTGTAATATCGTTATTCATTTTTTCGCAATAACTTGAAATTTGTCTAAATGTTATTTAACCATAAATGACCTTTTGGCTTATTATGTGTAATAATTTTTAGTCTTAAATATAGCTAAGAATAGAAGTCAAATGCGCATTCGCAGATCTTTATGCGCACAATGATATATCTGATACATGTGATACATGCAAATCTGCATGATGCGCGTGATTAGGATATGTATTTTAAAGATACAAACAAAGCAAAAATTTTATAAACTGGTTAAGACTTGATAAAGTGAAAGTTTATTTTATTGATAGTCATTATTTTTAAGTTGAATTTGATGCGCAGTAATGCACGCTCATGAAGCATTTTCTGTTGTATCATTGCATCATATACATGCGCGTGATGCTCATTACTAGATGAGATATCGGATAATCTGTGAACTCCTCAAATGAACTTCTAAAACCAGTGTTTCATTTTGCTAAAATATTTTATATATTCATGAAATTTATTTTTCCTTATGAAATGACTATTTCTTCATTTACTTTTAAAGAAAATGGAATATTGTTATAATTGTAATGATTACACCGATGATTGTTACTGCTCAAGATATGGAGATAGCTGCGCTACATATGATGGCATTTTATATGAGGACTCATACGATCAAAATTGTCAATATTGTTTCGCAGGGGCTTCTTATGGCGATAATTACTGCCCAACATGCGGCGCTGCCTTCGGTACAGTAGCTACAGTAGAAGAGTCCTCATACGAAATAGTCTCATACAAAATTAAAGAATCAGCAGAACCATTGATTGAATATGTTGATAAAAATGGTGGTAAAGCTGAAGTGAGTGCGCAAGTAGGAAATCGTAAAATAACTGCTACATATAGTCAAGAAGCTACAGAAATTTCATTTACTTCATATACTCCTGAAATTGACTACGATACAGAAGATTATACTCCTGAAATTGACTACGATACAGAAGATTATACTCCTGAAATTGAATACGATACAGAAGATTATACTCCTGAAACTGACTTCGGTACGGTAGCTGAGTCCTCTTCATTAATTTCGATCGAAGAATTCGCAGACACCATTAGAAAATCAGCTGAGGTAACGGTCGAATTTGCTGAACTTCATGGTGGTAGTGTTAAAGTAATTACGCAATTAGATGGTGTTGAAATAATTACTTCATATACCCCATAAACGAATACATTATATAGTATATATTAAGGATAGTAGGATAATATACAGATTTAATACTTCTTTTTAGTACATATATTTATGAAATTTTGTAATAAAAGTAGCCATTTTAGTATGTATTATGTATACGTATATGATCAAAAATTCGAAATAAAATATTTTTTAGTAAAATATTATATGCAAGATGGCTAAATAGAGAAGCGAGGTTTCAAGGGTGGAATTATGCATGAAAAAAACATGCCCTAACTCGTATAATAGCAGTTCCTTCCCCGCTACTCATTGTCATTATCAAAACTACCAATATTTTCTTTACTATCGATCCATTCTTTAAATAACTTTATTTTACTAAATTTTAGTTCCCCTTCGCCATAATAAAAACTTTTCACAGTATCTTTCCGTCTTTTTGACGAATTTCACTTTCGGATTGATTGGCCACGCTCTGTTGATAAAATTCGACCTGAAGTCTTTGCATAACGTTGAATCATCTCATTGCAGAGAGCTCGATAGAGACATTGATTCAGATAAAATTCTTCCCAAATTCATTACTCGAAAGTATTAAATAGTCTTGTGAATAAGATTTTCTGCGCCTCAGTGGCGTAGCCAGCATCACGCGAATTGATTTTTAGTGTTCAGTATTTTTTTTTTGTTAATACTTAGTAACGCATTTCTTCACTTACTATGTAAGGTAAAAACAAATTTACAGTAACACAAATTAGAACAACTACGGACTAGTCACGCCAAGTATGACTATAACTATCTATGGGATAAATAACCGCCATGTATTCTTAAATTTGGACATCTAATTCTATACATCTTACCAAAAATCCTAAGCGAGATTAATCCAGAATCCTAAAAATACCGAAAAGTCTGCCCAACGTATTACCATTTGTTAGACCAACGTCAAAGCAGAACCGCCCAGCCGAAATCCAACATCCCAGAGAAACCCCACATCCAATAATATGCAATACCAATACGCGTTCCTACAGTACATCAGGAAACACTTTACGAACAAATCAGAACTAGTGTGCTCCTCACGCATATCCTAATATGCGTCGTAACTCTCTCCAGGCGTCACTTCATAAAGGCCTCAGCTAACGTACAAAAGACTATTAAGTACAGTATTGTTCTGCCGAGCTAAGAAGCGTTAATTTCGGATAAACGTGCGATGAATTCATTGTGATTTTAGCGTCACGTGCAGAAAGTTCATTGGCGATTTTGGTGTCCCACGTAGAGAGTCCCTATAAAAAAAGAATGTCGGGAAATTATGTCCAGGTCTCCGGAAATTTGCAATATTCCGGGCGTCAAGACATTATGAATTTCCATGAAATCTCCAGAAAAGCTTAGAAGGACTCAGGACTGGTGTCCAGGAAGTGTCCGGAATATTGCGATTTTCCGGACATTTTACACTCTTCATTGGAGAATTGCTTTCCGATGACATAAATCAAGAAACATACGCCAAAAAGAATCGAAAACGTTGGAGCCTTCAAAGATGTGCCACAAGGCGTTGCTTTACAAAGTGAGTGTAGGCATAATTTCAAATAAAAGAAGAAGGTTCAGATGTGATAGATTAGTATTGCGTTATTTTTACGATTTAATAGTATAATTTATCGCTAGTGAAGCTAAGGGCGAATCTACTTCTCTTTATACATTTAACATTTTGCAGTCAGTTCGCAGCAAAGTTCCAAAGGAAATCATTTATTGATGCTAATATAATTGGAATAACTGTGAAAATGATATGACCACATCACTATTTCTGAGAAAAGAAATGTTAAGATCCGGCGCGTCAATAAAAATTTCGTTAAAGTCTGGACGAAAAAAAGTTAACATAAAACCTATAGCCCCATATTTTTCAAGTGATGTGAGTATTATTATTTTTTGTAAATGCTTTACCGTAAGGTGCTTCGCAAAAGAAAAAGTAGTCATTTTTTTTATTAGTAAAACTACATTTGTTGCTAAAGGTTAAACTACATAAACATTTGTACTACCGCTGATTCACCTTCTCGAAGTCAGAAAACAAGAGTGAAATAGAATAATAACTGAATAGGTTCCGGTATCTTCTCTATTTATCTTTCTTCGAACTGTTGAAGAAATGTGTATTGAATAATATATTGTTTACTTTTCGTTCGTGGCGCAATTCGATACATTCGTTTTTTACTGCAGATCATAACTGTATTTATAAAAATTTCCAGGCAAAATAAATCGCATAAATATTTTGCATAAATTAGTCATTCCGGGAATAAGAAGCATTGGCGTAAATTTTATACCCATATATCACTATTTTCTCCTCGCGATTTGCAAAATATTCCTCTAGCAATAGTATCGTATGAGTTCACATGCATGTTTTATTGTCCGAAATGTTAACATTCCCACTCGAAAGCATGCAATGTCACGCCACGTATATGGCCAATGAAATTTTAGAATCAGGTGTAACGCTTACGCCAAACAACAAAAAAACCAAATTATTAAAAATCCACGATAATTATAGTTTTAAATTAACTATAGTTTTAACTTTTAATAAAATAAATATTATACATTAATTTTTGTTGTAACAAATTATAAATGATAAAATTCAATAATAAATATCGTTAACTTTTTAAAGTGTAAATAAATCGTTGCTACCGTTGCTTTTAAAGTGTGTTGTTGTTTCTAAAATTCGATAAAATTTAACATTTTTTAACATAACTTTTATACACTTTTTAGCAATCCATTTTTTTTTTAATTTTAACAATACATACTTTTTATAATTTTTTTGTGATATTAATTGACGATCATATGGTTATAACGCTTCAAATGCTTCCGTTTCCTAGTAATAATACTGAGTAGCGAGGAAGCTATACGGGTTAGGGCTGGCAGGCATGTTTTTTTCATACATTATTCCTCCCTTGAAACTTCGCTTCTCTATTTAGCATTTCTCATATATTATTTAAAAAATATATTAAATAAAGACCTTTATTTTGAATTTTTAAACATATGCGTATGCATAATACATGCGAAAATGGCTATTTTTATTACAAAATTTCATAAATACATGTAAAAAGAAGTATTAATTCTGTATACTACCCTACTATCCTTAATATATACGGTATCTAGTAACCGTTCTTTTCGTTTCTGGAGTATATGAAGTGGTTACTTCAACATCATCTACTTGCGTAATTACTTTAACACTACCACCACCAAGTTTAGCTTGTTCGATTGTTGCCTCAGCTGATTTCTTAATGGTATTTGCGAGTTTTCCGATTGAGATTGATGAAGAGGACTTAGCTACTGTACCGGAGGAAGTTTTAGGAGTATATGAAGTACATGAAAATTTTGGACCTTCTCGGCGAGTATATGAGGCGGATATTTTACGATTTCCTATTTGCGCACTCACTTCAGCTTTACCACCATTATTATCGACATATTTAGTCAATGGATAGACTGATTTTTTAATATTGTATGCGACTACTTCGGTTGAGGACCCAGCTGCTGTAGCTACTGTACCGAAGGCAGCTCCGCATGCTGAACAGTATTTAGCGCTACTAGAAACCTGCTCATAACAATATTGACAATATTTCATTTTCTTTAAGCTTGCAATTGAAGGTGTAATTATAAGTAAATGAAAGAATGGTAGGAAAAATAAACTTATGAAACTTTCATGAATATATAAAAGTATTTGAGAAAATGAATCACTGGTTTTAGAAGCTCATTTGAGGGAGTTTCATAGATTATCCGATATCTCATTTAGTGATGGGCACTTGCAATGACGTACATACTTCATGAACGTGCATTACTGCGCATCAAAATTTAACTTAAAAAATACATTTCATTTATTTCATTTCTTTAAAATACATATCATTACCATATAATCATGCGCATCATGCAGCATTGCATGTATCAGGTATGATGTGCATCAAATACGCAAATGAATCAATATTAATATTAATTATTATAATATAAAGTAATGAATTATATAGAATAAAAATTCCAAGATACAAGTACTCCATGCAAATAAACTAAATCCATTTCGTAGGTATGTCATAAAAATAATAAATTAAGAAAATCGGTATGTGGCTTAGGAAATTTATCTGTGATACAATTACCTGAAAGTATGATTTTCCCCTGCTTAAAAAATTACTCAAATTTTTTGCAGATCATTTCCAGACTAGAAGATAAAATTTTTAACGAATAAATTCCACGTTCTTATTTTTCAAACGTAGTTTCTAAAATCAAATCTTATGTGTAATTTTGCTTTTTAGAGAAAAATTGGAGATTTTGAATACCGATTTTTTTTACTATTAAAGTCAATTTTTACAAGATTCAATATGGAAGCCAATAAATGTCATTCATGAGTGATGACCTCTTTTTTTTTTTTTTTTTTTTAANACAAAAAAGGAAAAGATCTACATTATATAACATTTAGTAAAGAACACGATCGAACTATACTATAATATTATTAGGGACTTAAGATTTTATGTTCAAAAGAACTATCTGCCATCCTGCTCACCCAAATAGGTTCACTAAACTATCCGCATAACTACTACTATTCGTATGGACTTCGGTAATGTTATATAAAAACACACCACAACTCCTTTAATTACTACTACAACATCAAAGATAATAAAAATAATACTACGAAACACTACCGTAATCAACAATATTATAGTAATCTATTGTATTACCCCAAAATAAATATGACTTTGAAGACTTTGTAGATTAAAGTATTTCTTATTTTTTGATTTACGCGTTTTGTCAATAAACTGCTCTTTACCAAAATGTTGTTTTTTAACATTATTATAAATTCCCAAACATCTATCAATTTCAATAAGTTTATTACACCTCACTTTCCAAAAAATCATAGATTTATCCAAAATTTCATTCCTAAAATTATATGACAAAATTTCAACTTTTGATTTCGTAGATAATAATTGTTTAAAAAAATTAATTAATGAACAAGGAAAGAAACCTTTAATTAATCTATGAAAGTTATGTGATCCTCTGATACTTCAAGTTTCCAAATATCATTGAGATTTTTAATATGTTCAAGAGTAATATGATTAATAGGATCTAAAATTTAATTAATTTCTAAAAGAAGCCAATTTTGTACTCCTGAAATTAAATCATCCATATCCTCTCGTCTTTCTTCACAAAACCAGATATGATTGAAATCTTCTTCATCCTCTTCACACATAGGGCAAAACCTTTCTTTATATAATGAAAATAAAGTTCTTTTAAGAGTGATGACCTCTCTTTTAAACTTGCAGGCATTACGACATAAAAACCGATCACGTGTGTGTAGATCATATTTCGATTGTGTAATAAAAACAGGTATTTTTTTTCGTATTGAGACGTCAATAAAACAGTAAAATGCGTTAATTCTCTAAAATTTCTATAATTAAACTTAGAAAAAAACCTAAATTTCAATGTTATACGAAGGAAATATAAGCATTTTTCATACTTTAATCATCTCTAGTACAATATTTAACATTTTTATATGTAACTTTTAACCGGCTTATTTTATAATATTAATTTCGCTTATCTTTTTTTCTAAATTTTATTAGACGTTTATATTATGGATTTAATTTGTAACTTGTATAACTAGTAAAATTCTTTATAACTTTATTTAAACAAAAACATTGTCAAATATAAACTACTAATCTATATTTTTTGTATTCTGTTTAATTGACTCTATCTGTTTCTTTTTAATTATTCTTTTTTGACGTGGTGGTATTGTTTTTGGATTCATATTTTCTATATTTTCAAAAGATATTTTTGATTATTACTCTTACTTCTTTATATAGATGTTGCTTGCACTTTCATTTGTTTATCATTATTGTTTCTAACTCTCCAATTCTTCTTATAATACTTTCTTATTGTTTCATTATTTTGTAAATAAAGATGCTTCTTGAATATTCCGAGCATAAAAAAAGGTAACAATACTCAAATTAATAAATAGATCCTTCCTTTTTTGGATATTGCCAGCGGCATTACGTAATTCTGGCCCTGAGAGATGCGTGGAGTTAATGATTGCTCTGTGTGTAATAAAATTACCCATTGTCAACTTATTGCAAACTCAAAGAATTTTTTCAAAATTTTACTACAACGGATACGAAACTTTGTCTATATACTGTACTTTTTAGTAAGAGATTTTAAGGTTAGCTTGAACGCCAAGGATAAATTCACGTATTCTTAATTGCGTCTATAAATTATATTGTAAGTCGTTCATATTCTTCATCTAGAGAAATCAAATAATAACATTAAAACCAAATCATGTGATATTATTTTGAATTTTATAAGCCATTTATTTATTTCAATTTAGACATTAATAAAAAGAGAAATAGAAATTATTAAATTAATAATTTTATTACGTTTACTATAAATTAAGAAAGTACAGGTAATAACAAAAAAAAGAACGCAAAGTAAGTAAATATTATAAAGTTTTTTCACTCACATACTCACTATCCTCCTCATTCTCCCTTTCATTGTTTTTTTCATTCTTCTCAATGTCCTTTTCATTCTCCTTCCCGTTCTCCTCCTCATTACAATTTTCATTCTCCTCCTCATCGTTCCTCTCCTCATTCTCCCTTTCATTGTTCTCATCATTCCTCTTCTCATTATCCATTCCATTCTCCTTATTATAACCTTCATTCTCCTCCTCATTGTCCTCCTCCTCATCATCCTCCCTTTCATTTTCCTCATCACTCTTCTTCTCAATGTCCTTCTCATTCTCCTCTTCATCATAACCTTCATTTTCTTCCGCACTGTACCACTCCTCATTTTCCCTTTCATTGTCTTTTTCATTCTTCTTCTCAATGTCTATTTCATTCACCTTTCCGTTCTCCTCTTCATTATAACTTTCATTCTCCTCCTCATTAACCCTCTCCTCATTCTCCCCCTCGTTCTCATCCTCATTTTCCACCTCGACATTATTCTCATCATTTTTCTGAGCATAAATACGATAAATCATAAACTCCATATGAGAATTGTCTAATTCTTCAATAAGATTGTCGATCACTTTTAAATATTTTTCATTACTAATTCCCATATAATGACTAATACTTCTAATAATAATTTCAGAATTAGCACTATCTTTAAATATATAATCTAAATATGCTTCACCAATTTTATCACCATTTGAACCTAATATAAATGTTTTTTCGTCTTTTCTTACATTAGAAAGATTTAAATTTGATTCTAACATTGATTCAAGTTGTTGAATAATTTTTACATCTATACCTTTTGATAAGAATGTTTCACACGCTAAAAAAATATAAGGCGTGAACGTTAGAGAGATTGGCTTCCTTTAAATATATAAATATATATATATACACAGAATATAGAGTATAACCTGATGTATAAAATTCAACAAATAAGGGACCTGCCCCTATGGCAAATGAGTATGGCTCAACTAATTCAATCCATCCACCAGGTTTCGTTACCCTATTGCATAGAAAAAAGAATTCTTTCATTTATTAATTTATTATTTGAGAAAAACATTTAACGATTATTTACCTGACAAGTTCAGAAATCACAAAATTCCATTGATCAGGTGTATATGCAAGAATCATTGTTTCTTGATGTACAAAATCGAATTCGTCATCAGGATATGGTAATCCATTTAATATATCAGCTTGGATAAATTGTAAATTTTCAGGTTTTATCTACAAAAAAAAAACAAAATTTATATATATTCATTGTATGTCAAAAAAAAAAAGCTCTTCTTACCTCTTTCGGAAAGAGTGGTTTTTTATCGAGACCAAAAAAATTCGATTTTGGGTAATTAATAGATAAATCCAATAACCAAGTTCCAGCACCACATGCTACATCTAATACTTTACATTGATTTCTAATTAATTTTTGTTCAATAGGGGAAGAAAAATTGTTTTCGAATAAACATCTTTTGAGAAAATGATGCGTATGATGTCGATTTATTTCCTTGTCATCATCCGGTAAATAAGATTTTAATTTTTCATATTCTTTTGATTTTGTTTGAAAAAAAATTTTTGGTTTTATCTTTGATATCCTATTTCCCATATTTTTACCATTTAATTTTTTATTTAAGAGTAAAACGAAAAAAAAAGAAGAAATTGAAATTAAGTTTGAAAATAATTGGGATAATAATTTTTTTTTATATTACACAGAATTAATGTTTTGCGCCAATACAAATATTGTTACAAAACGCGATGAACCATAATTTTTATTGAGTAGGAATTTTTTAATTTTATTTCTTTACTAAATTATATTATTTGTACTTTTTGAGTAACGTTTTGATTGATGTAGTGTCAAATTAAATAGATAACTATTTCGTAATCCATCAAATTAAAAGGGGTGCAGAATTTTGCACATCTACTGTAGCAATTGATTCTGTGAGCACGCTAAGATATTAAATTGTTATATTATGATGTCGTTATTATCTTTCGAAAGTAAAATTTTTTTTTTTTTTGTATTGTGTGGGAACCAAATTTATATCATCGGTACACCATCGGTATTACAAAGCGATCGAAGTTTTTTAAGCTTTTGTTAGGAGGCAACGTGAACCTGCATAGTATCACGTAAGACCAGGCTGATCATTATATTGTGATTTCGCGATATTGTTTATCCGTCCATCCCGACGGTTTTTTTTTTTTTAAGAAAAAAATACCCGCTATGAAATATAAAATTTAGAATATTTGTTTGTTACTCATTGTTACTCATATCCGTTATCTTCTTGGCTTACATGAGTTAACGAAAACAATTACCGTTACCGGAAATTACCGTAATTATTTATAATTTTTTTCGCTTACATAATAGATATCTTACTAGTTAATGGTAAGTTTTTTTGATCCATTCAAATATTTACTGTTTAGAAGAATAATTGCTACCGTTACTCATTATTATGTTTATCGAAAATAAAAGTTATATAACCTTTATGAAAATGATATTTCAAACCCATTATATTATTTTTTNTGAACCTGCATAGTATCACGTAAGACCAGGCTGATCATTATATTGTGATTTCGCGATATTGTTTATCCGTCCATCCCGACGGTTTTTTTTTTTTTTAGTAAAAAATATTAGATAGTTAAATTAGGTTTTATTTACTTTATTGTATTTTCCAATTCTTTTTGCTATTTAATAAACTATCAAAAAATTTGTGGAAAAAAAAAAAAAAAAATTTTCTATCATTTTATTTCATCGATTTCTTCGTTGTAAAAAAAAAAAAAAGTTATTTAACCTTACCTTCTTTTTTTATATATATATTTTTTAAAATAATGGGAAATCGCAATTCTACCGATAAGGTTAAAAGAAATCCATCAATTAATAAGACTAATAATAGATCTCATATTAAAAAAGAGTTCGAACCTACCTTACCTAGTACCTTACCTACTTCACCTACCTCACCTACTTCATCTAACGAAGAAAAAGAAACTTTGAAATATTATTTACCAAATGATAATAATGATATTGATAGACAACATGCGCATCATTTTATTAAAAGATATTTATTTCAAAGTTATTTTTCTGCTCCGATCGTGATTGGAGAAGGAGTTAAAGTTTTGGATGTTGGGTAAGTTAAGAAATTTGAAAAAAAAAATCGTTTTTTTTTCGATCCGTTTTTTAAGAAAATCAAAAAATCATTTTATATTAAAGATGTGGAGCTGGAACTTGGTTGTTAGATTTAGCAAACGAGTACAAAGATTCCATATTTTATGGACTTGATATTGCACCAGTATTTCCTGCTGAGGTAAAAAAAAATCCATCAAACGTATATTTATATATATATATATGGGTCTAGTACGAAATCCTGAACTCTAATGCTAGTCAAACACATCACGTGACTAGGAATAATTCTGCATAACGCTGGCATTTCGTATCATTCGACGGATCCCACATATATATATATATTTTTTTAAAAAAAATCAAAATATTTATTTATTTGTAAATTTAATAGATAAAACCGGAAAACTTGACCTTTATTAAAGAAGATATATTTAATGGGTTACCATTTCCTGATAACACATTTGATTTTGTACATATGGAAACAATGGCATACATTTTAACACCAGAAAAATGGCATTATGCGATTTCTGAACTTATCAGGTAGGTAATTATCGAATTCATTATAAAATCTTAATTGTTATTAACGAATCATATATTTTTTTAACAGAGTAACAAAACCTGAAGGATATATGGAATTATCCGAAGCGTATTATAATAAAAATGAAGGATTTGGTCCTATATATATTAAATTAGCTGAAGCAAGTAAGGTTATATAATTGTTTGATTGTTACTAATAATTAATAATAATTGATAATAATTTATATTATTATAGTTTATAAATCAAGCTTACAAAGAGGGGTTGATTTAAAATTTACAGATCAACTTGAGAGTGTGTTACGATCAAGACAAACTATAATGAATGTGGATATAGACGAAAAAGTAGTTATTATAGGTCCAAATGGTGGTAAAGTTGGTACTATTTTTATGGACCTTTATATACAATTTTGTTCAACAGATTCAGCGGTTGAAGGTTTATGTCCTTATTTAAATATGTCAAAAGATGAATACAAAGAATTTATTTTTAAAGATTATAGAAATGAAATATGTCAATCTAAAAACACCAAACTTTATATGGTTAGATATTGGGCACAAAAAGTTAACAATAATTAAAAAAATTATAAGAAATATACAGATAATAATATATTCCTTTAAATTAAGTTTAACTTAGTAAGAAAATAAGATTTTATATAAATTCAATAAGTATAAATTAATTAATTTAATTCAATAAATATAATCCGGATCCCGTAAGTGAAAATTATAGAAAATAACGTTTTTATGAGATAAGTAATTTAAATATTATTTATTATTAATTTGTATCTTTTGTACAATACAATATCCTTTTGGAAAAATAAAAAAAAAAAATTGCCGTTCGTATCACATTTCAATATCTTGACTCACGAATTAAAATTCTACTACGGGATTGCTTTTTTCGATTAAAGTTAGCGAATTCATGCAGGGAGATATTACATATTTATTAGTTACGTGGAATTACATGAATGATTGTGGAACGTTAAACGAACCAACAATTACCATTACCGGAATATTATAATATAGTAATTCATGTTTTTTTTAATAAGATTTGAGTTAGTGGTAACTGATGGTTCTGATGAATGATTGATTTGATTGATTGTTAATTAGTAATACTGTACCTGCATTAGTGTTTTTTAAGCCTAATATATAAATATTACAGAAAATGAGGCGCAAGGCGCAATATTTGGATCATATGAATTGATTGAATTAAAAATAATTTTTAAAAGGTAAATTTTAATAAAAATTCGTTATTTCATGTATCTTTAATACATTGTACATAATTGTCCGGAGCGAAGCGAAGGAGGACTACACATATATATAAATAAATGATCGATCACGTGAATTTCTCTGACCTCTCACGTGATGTCATCCAATGAAAATCGCAAAATTTTTTTCTTCGCTCCGGATTTACAACGGTTTCCGTTTCCTAGTATATATAACTACATCATCTCGATGTAAAATTTACATTAGCATGACAAATTATTTTATTTTTTATGTCTCATTGAAATTTGATTTTTTCTTATATATTCATAAATTTAATCTATTTTCTTTATATTTTGATGATATTTACGTTATAATACAATAATTCTCGGTTTAATATTAAAAGATCGATTACAACATATTTAATGATTTAATGATATTGAGAGACCCGTTTATTTCAAGTAAATAGAGATTTATGAGAGAGTTGTGACATTACGTAAGCAATGAAATTAGGCTACAAATTTAGGAGTCTCCAAATATATACTTATTTTTCTTTACATTTCTAAGACGTTCTTATATTTATCAATTAAATATGTAAATATGTTTTTAGACTTAATACAAGACTGATATTTACTCTAAAGAAAATGAAATAGTATGTGATTAAAATGGCAATCCGTTAAACATATATATATTGGCTTTAACAAATTCAGGATTAAACTGTCAATATGTAATATTCTTAAATTTCTATAATATCACGTTTTAACATATTCATCATTTATTCATCATATAAATTATTATTTATATATTTAATTAATGTGGATGTATTTTATTATTGATAATAATGATTTACTTTGTTTTTATTAAAATTAATTTCTTGGCAATAATGAAACTTTATTATTGTGTTACATTGAGGCATTCAAATTTGAATTACTTACATTAAATTTGAACCACTTACGTCAACGATTTAATTTTGGTTAACTTATTTCGTTTAATATTATTTACTAAATTACTTTTAATTTGGATATTATTATTCATTATTTTATTTGAGAAGGGAACCCAGGGGGACCGAATTATGTCATGGTTAAATAATTTTGATCAGTAGATTAGCGAACCAAAAAGTGTCAAAATTCCGAAAATCATATTTTGAAAATCCGAATTTTGAAATTCCTAATTCCTTATATATTTTTTGCAGCGCATTTCTTTATTAATTTCATGACCAAAGGTACAGTACATATATTAATTTTAGAGGCACATGACTTCAAGAGTCACATGACCCTATAGCAAAAAAATGATCTATCTAAATACAAAGAGAGTACTTACCGAAACGTGCAAAAAATAATAAATCCAAATCACCCTCACTATCCAATATGAAAAATTGTAAGAAAAATAAAAACATAAATCACCCCCAAAAAATAAAACTATCATTTCTAGACCTATCAAATTTCTAGTCTATACTACAACCTAATCCTAAATTACTCGTTAAATTTCCTTGATTTTGTATTAAGTCCCTCAGTAAGAAAAACCGTGAATAATGCTAAATAGCTAATCGCCTCTCTAAAATGTTGAGACCTTAATACCCAAAATCCATCTAACAACAACCAAATTTCTACAAAAAGAAAAATTAGTACCTATAAATTCCAATTCTACGCCATTAATCGACCGCCTACCAAGGAAAAAATAGACATATGAGTGACATCATCCACAAAAATCACTTTGACTCCTCGTTTTTAATTTGTTATCGGTAAAAAATTTTTTACGGGAAATCACGTGACTTCGATATCCAATATTGTCCACTCTCCAACGTTTCTGGAATTTCTTCGCTGGAGGACTGTTCTTAAATCTTTTCTTGTTTACATTCTCATCGTCTGTCGCTCTGTTCTCATCTTTTAGGCGTTTTGTGAAATCATCGTTTAGCGTAGTATATTGTCTCAAAATATCACTTTGTTCCGCTAAACTAATAATTCTGCAACCTATCATGGTGGTTTCATTCCCTGATTAACCCATTCTTGAATTTTTCCTTCTTCTATTCCGTTTTCTATTCCCACCGAATACATGTATTTTAAGCTTAAATCCTCCCATTCCATTTCGTTGAAGTTGCTTTGAAGATCTCTTTCAATTATTTGATCTTTGCACTGAATTTTTCTGGGTGACCGAAGTGTCATATCGCTCGTACTTTATCTTTTCGTTCACCTGATATTTTTTTATAATTTCTACTACTTCCTCCGTTAGAACGTTGTCTCATTTTAAGCTTTTACTCAATTATCTTCTTCTTTCTTCTTCTCTAACTCTTCTCTACTTCTATATCTTTTTATCATATTCACCACCTCTTCATCATTGATCTTATTACTTACTGATTTTTCTTCTACCTTATCTTCTACCCTACTAGATTCGATTTTGTCCAGCTCCGCGTACTGTCTAGTGGGGCATTCGTAATAAAATTGCAGAACCATAAGAAAAAAAAATTCCCAATGAGTCTAGTATATATATAAAAAATATGAGACTTAGAAATGTAATCGAAATTATAGTGTTAATTTTACTAACTGTGGCTCAGATGCGGCGCAGTAATATCGTATTTTGTTGTGTTACAGCCGAGATAATTATGTTACAAATTTGAAATCTAATATAGATATTAATATAAATGAAGTAAAAGAACTTTTACTTAAAAACTGTGATTTCCGATAAAAAGTCGAACAAATCACTTATCAGAGCTGTCTTACAACGTCACGTGAAGAAATACTTAAACAATCGGATTTCACGATTTATTATTTGACTATTGATATTACTGATATTACTATTGATTAATCATTGACGCGTTTGGTAATAATTATGTAATTATAATTCCAACGCCAACTTTCATAAGCTTAACCAATCAGAATTTGAGGATAATATAATATATAACCTATCTATGCGAAAATTAAAAATCTCAAGCCTTTTTTATTTATTTGCTGGCAATATAAAAAAAAATGGCTTATCAACGTACTATTCTTCCGTTCTATCACAACCCAGGCATTTCACCATGCAGCAGGACTGTATGGTTTCTTACTGGGTTTCTTTTTGGTGCTTTGCCCTATGAAAAAAAATCATCCAATTTTTGTACAATATTTGTTCAAGTCCGTGTGGAAATTGTACAATTATTGCAGATTTTTGGATAAAAATAGCTGTGAAGTTTTTCAAAGCATATTAAAAGTATGCAATTTTTGTACAACTTAAATTTAGGATATAGAAAATGTTCAATTTTTGTGTGATTTTTATACAACTTAAATTTAGGATACAGAAAACATTCAATTTTTGTACAATAAAAATTGTGATTATTGTACAACTTGAAAATAGACTTAAATTTAGGATACAGAAAGCAATTTTTGGGTAATCCTACTATACTACTTTCCATCTTACCTGTATGGTTACATTTGACCACTTTTAGGGTCGAATAGACCACTTTTAACCATTACAAATAGATTTTCCTAAGTAAAGTGATTTATGCAGTAAGGTTACATAAAATTCAACTGCATATTTGCTTATAAATGGGCATCTTCTGGACCCATTGGTGAAATTTTTGTATCATCTTGTAACTAAAAAAAAGTCAAAAACTTTTTATTAGGTTACACAATTAGTTCTGACCGGAATTATAATTTGGCCAGAATTATGCGGTAAAAATCAACTCTTAAAATTATATATGTTGATCACGTGATCTGATCGTCAAAATAAATATGACGACGCGAAATGTTTTTGTTTATGTTTTTTTAACCTTTTAACTTTTCTTCAACTTTCTTTTAAAATATCAGGTAAGAAAAACTTGTGTTCTTTATCTTTTTATTTTCCTAACTTTTTACATTTTAATGTTACTAACTTGCTTTCTTCACTAACTTCATACTTTTTTTTATTACTAATACTAATAATTTACTTTTTAACACTACTAATTTGCTTTCTTCACTAACTTCATACTTTTTTATTACTAACACTAATAATTTACTTTTTAACACTACTAATTTGCTTTCTTCACTAACTTCATACTTTTTTATTTAATACTAATAATTTACTTACACTAATAATTTACTTTCTTCTTTGACACTACTAATTTACTTTCATGTTACTAACATACTTTATTTTATTTTATTTTCTTACAAATTTTTATATTTATGATTATATCAAATTTAGTATTTTATTTATGAAATATTGTGTATATTTTTTATATTTTAAGTCAATAAAAATTCATAATTTCACTTTATAAATTGCCTGTTATTACTGTAAAATTTAACCTATAATTCCTAAAATATGGCCTAAAATTTGGCTCAAAAATCACACAATAATTGTATAAATTCAGGTCAAAAATAGGATAATTATTGAATGAATTACCATGCAATAATTGTGTGATTTATTGCAATTTTTAGCACAATTATTGTATGGTCAAATATACAGAAATCGTAGTGAATTTAATTGAATGATTTTTCAACAAAAATCACACAGACTTTTTTCATAGGGTTGGTTGTGTTGCCTTTGGAAGGCCATCACTTTTTTATGAATTCTTTAATTTTCTTTTTACTCTTTTTCATTTAGTTCTAGATTTTTATAAATCAGAAACTGGACAACGAATAGTTATTTATATCAAGAAATTATACAATAACTATTCGGACTTCTGCTCTATAAGGAACTTGGAAGAACTAATGGGAAGAGGAAATCACATGATACCTTCCCTTTTCATTTGGATTTTTCAAGAATATCCTGAGTCAGCTTATTATTTGACCCATTTAGCAGAGTGACCCTATTAGTGTTATCTTACAATAAAAAGTATCATAATTATGTAATTAATTTAATAAAAAAATATTGGTGTAACTGAGTAATAATGAAAAACAGAAAGATTATATAATTCATTTATTTTTTTGGTAAAAAAAAAATGACTATATGAATTAAGAATCATAATTTGCCATTATTACTACTTATTAATGCAATATTATTGAAAAGATATAATATCAATAAGTGATGCAATATTGACTCATTATTATGAGCAAGGACAAATTTTTTTTTATTTAAAGACCTGCCAAATGATTTTTTTCAATTCAAAAAAAATTTTCAAGAAATTTTTTTCCAAAAATTATTTACAATAATATTTTTTGTAATGCAATATATATTATATCATATATAGTTCTTTACATCTTGATATTATAACTGCTTTATTATTATTTTCTATTCATTTAAATTTTTAGAAAAAGCTGAGAAACTGTATCCTATTTCTTTACTCACCAACGTAAATACTACCTCTCAGGTACATACTACACTGCTGAAAGGCTTAGGATTCCAATTTTATAAATAGTTTGCTTTGATTTCAAAATTTTTACAAAATTTGATAAAATTTTGGCTGTATTTAAAGAAAAAGGTGTATTTTTTATTGTATTTGATTTATAAATGAGACATTTGGAGAATGAAGAAGAGAAAGAAGATGATGATGCTGAAATTCAGCATCAACAACTTAAAAGAAATTGGGCACTCAAAATATGGTGTCAAGAAGAAGAAAGATTAAAGGCTCTGGAAGAAGAAGAAAAGGCTCAAACCACAAAAGCAGAGGAGGAAGAAGAGGAAAGTGAAAGCGAAACTGATTCTGAGAAGGAAGAGCAAACATCAAGAAAATTATTAAAGCCTGTATTTATACCAAAAGCACATAGAGAAACTGTGTTGGAAAGAAAAAGAATGGAAAAATTAGAAGAGAAAGCTGAACACAAAAGATTACAAGAACTTAAGGATTGCAAGTAGTGCTTCGATCCATGTATGGATTGATCCGGATTGATCCGGATTAAATCAAAAATCTGGATGAAATCTGCGGTTTGAACTGGATTTCGTCAGATCCATCCGGATTGCCAGTTTTCGGATAACTTAAAATATTTCCGAAACCAATGATCAGAATTTAACAATTTAAGGCATGTTTGATAGTGCTTGACGTTGCGTATTTAATGGTAGGACTGGATTTTTTGAAATAATTTTTTTTATCCAGATTTTCGTTTAATAACAGTTTTCATCCGGATTAAATTGTTATTCAATCCAGATGACGGATTTCATCCGGATTGAAGCACTAATTGCAAGAAGTTGATGAGATGAGCAAGTAGAATATAAACAATGGAAATTACGTGAGTTATTAAGAATTAAAAGAGATAAAGAGGAAAGAATAGCAAGAGAAATAGAATGTGAAGAGATTGAATGCAGATGTAACATATCTAAAGAACAACACTTAAAAGACAGAACGAATTAAAAAACAGCACAAAGAAAAGCCAAAAGGTCAATACAAATTCCTGCAAAAATATTATCACAAGGGCTCATTTTACTTGAAAGAACATGATGAAATTCTTAAACATAATTATACTTTATCAACACTGGATGAAGTAGCTCACAGGGAAATTTTACCCAAAGTCATGCAAGTTAAAAATTTTGGTCACGTAGGGCAAACTAAATGGACACATTTGATGGATCAAGACACTTTAGTAAAAGATGCACCTTGGAATGCAAAAACAGAAATTAACAAACGAACATTATCAAAATTGAGTAGTTTACATGGAGGGTTTGATAAACCTATAGCAAAGAAAAGTCAATAAAAATATATCTTTTTTTTTTGTTTTCAATCCAAAAATTTTAACTTTTCCAAAATATTTTTTTTCCCGGGCAAATATTGGTATTTGAATATACAATTACAAATAAACTGCGTACACCATTTTGAAAACGGCGATAATAAAAAAATACAAATAATAAAAATAATAAGAAAAATTAAAGGAATATAATTATATACTTTATTATAAAAATAATACTGCACATTAGTTAGAGAATTATTAATTTTATAAATTACTAAATATCATCTAGGTGATCATCATTGGAAGAATTAAGAATATGAATGTATGTGTGGTGAATAAAGTTTTAAAATTAATTTCTCTAAAAGTTTGTTTATTTAGAGTTTGGATGAAGATTTTGATAATAACATGTAAATTTTCAAGGTGGTTAACAAATTTTCTTTAAGAATTTCATGCACATTAAATTATTTTATGTGCACATTCACCTCATTTTAAAAGTGCATTTTCTGCTAATTAGATTACAAAGAAGGATAATATGATTACATTTATTAAACAAAATTTAATGTTAACTATTTTTGATATGATTTTGAGTCAATAAGAACCATTTAATTTATTAACTTATTTGAAATATATATATTAGTTCTTCATTGTTAGATGTATTTATACTGGAAATATTCTGTACTCCTTGAAAAGACATTTATACATGTTCAAGATTATTTAATTGAAAAACATACTAGTCGGATTTATAATTGTTAAACAATTTATAATTTATTTTTATCTAATATATGGTCATATCCAAAATGTATATTAGGCTATTCCAAACTAATAATTAGTTGTCCGGAAGGACTATATATGTCTACGTACTATGAAAAATGATCGATCCCGTGTCCCGGAATTCCAAGGCGTTATGCTGCTAATCAGTAGAAAATTGCGATCACGTGAGTTTCTCTGTACAAGGCTAATTAGTAGAAAATCTTGATATTTATTATGATACCTCGCTCCGGATTTACAATGGTTCCCGTTTCCTAGTTTAATGTCCTTTCTGACTGAAAAATTTGGGAAATGATTTAAACAAGCATGATATTTTATTAAACTAAAAATTAACGTGGTGTAACAGCCTTATGGTTGAATAATACTTTTCAACAAATTAAATTACAATTTTTCCTTTAAAATAAAGCTTTAAATAGAGTTCCAAACATGATGACCTGAACTGAAATTTTTATTTAAAAATTTAAAATTGAATATCTCCGTCAATTCGAAATGAAATAACTACCATTAGATTTGTCTCATTGAGATGAATCTAATGGGCCATAATTGAACGTTTTCTGATCATTAAATGCCAAGATATCGTAAAATAATCTATTAGCCATCTGATATCTGAAACTTCATCTCTATCCTTCTTCCCTCTTTCGCCCCTTCTCTTTCCTATCCTACTAATTCCGTGACGAAACATTTTAGACAGTACTGGTAAAATTTCTAGTGTTTTTTTTTTTTTTTATTCTTTTAACGAACTGTTTCTAATTGCTTATTTTTTTTATTTATTTTAGCCAATAAGATTTTTATTAGTTTTTTTCCTTTATTTCTTAACGATTTTAACAAACAGTATCTAACGTTTTGTTAATTTTTTCTTTTTAGACGGTTCTTTTGATTTATGTTTCATCAATTTTCATGATCATGACGGATTTTCTTGCGGTAAGTTATTTTTTTTAAAAAACATTTTTTGTTTTAAACAAAACATACTAATATTTCATTTTTTTTAGACTTTTCTTTTTCATATTTCTCTGGCACGTGGCATTTCGGTAAGTTCAAACTGTTTTTAAATTTTTTTATTTTAATGAATGTTTCATTTTATTTCCTTTTTTTTAGACATCCTTTTTTTCGGGTAATTGAACGTGAATTCCAGCAAGTAGAAAAAAAATATTTTTTTTTTATTAACTTTTACTAACTGTTCATTTTTTTTTTAGACGACTGGGTTTTCAGGTATTCAAACGGTTACTATAATTATGTTAATTATGTTTGTATCTTTTTATTAGTATAACATTATTAGATATATTATAAATTTATTTAGTTATTTATTTAATAGTTTTATAAGTAGATTGACTTGTTTGAAATTTTTTTAAAAAAATCACGTATTTTCTTTTATGAGACAGGAACTCCGCAGTCAAGCGTTATAAAATTTACTGGTTAGGGACCTTCACACCTGTTCCGGGCTATTTCCCTTTTGATGAATCACCTTATCATGATACGTCTAATAAAAAATATATTAATGAAAATGAGATCATATTAGCATAATCGTTACCGTATGCAATGATAATATTGTATCGTGGTAATTAGGTTCATTTTAACAGGGTTGTACTATCACAAAATTTTTTTATATTAACGGAGTATCTATTATTTGGAGAACTACACAGTTTTCCTTCACATATCGTGGATGAATTCCATTTATTGTGTACATCAGGCATGTGTTATCTCTTGGATATATAACAATTTGTCTCTACATTAGACGACGTTCTGAGATTAAGAACGTGATAAATCATCAATCATGGCGGATTTATGAAATTTGACAGTATTTTAACCACCAAATTATTATTTAAGTCACAAAAAGTTTTTTTGTACCCCAAATTTTGCGTCTAACCAATTTTCCCACTATACATTATAACCAATTTTTCCAGCATTAAAGGTGCGTCATTATTTGACATTTTTTCAATTGATATCACATGTTTTCTGTAACTCAATTTTAACTCCTGCAGGGGTTTTTGCCAAATTTCATAAATCCGCCGCAATGTATATTTAGTATTAAGTTAATTATAATCCTCGGAATCCTCGGGTATCCTCGGATTTCTGCAGATCATCTGTCGGATATCCGTTCACGCCGCAATTTTACAATAAACTCTCGCTACTAACAAATAATTTTACTATTATGCCATATATAATTATTTGACTGATATTTTTGTCAACGGTTAAATATAAATATGTTTGCAACCATTTTAATAAATATATTCTATTATTAAATTTTATTGCATGGACTTCTAGTTTGTTTGATAAAAATATGGGATCGTCACTGGTGATACAATATACTTTATTGCATATAAAAAGCAAATAAGAATGCATGTTACCTGTAACAACCGTTATTACTGTTTATGTAGCAAAATTCTAAACAAGTTTTAAAAAGAATTCTAAAAGAGGTAAACAGATAAATTTCAAGTTTGAGAAATTTTTTTTTGTATAAATTGCCGCCGATTTAACGTACCATCGCACCATAAATCAAAAAACTTTGAAAGTTTTGTGGTAAAAATTTTTTTTTCAAAAATAAAATAACAAAAATACTTAAATAAAATAATAATCATGAAATCGACAATAATTCTACTTTATTTAATAATTTGTTTGATAACAATTTCAACGGGAATTCCGGGTAAGAATAAAATATACATAATATAACATAATTTGTATACTGTATTTATTTATAAATGTCTATATCTAATTTTTTTTTTTTAAATATACGTAATTTAGTTATCAGTGACGGGACCGAAATAAAAGAAAAGCGTTATAACATTCATGTAAATTCACCGTGTTATCAATATTTTCGGTCTGACAATGCGATGTTAAAATTTTGTAAGAAAACACGAGAAAATTAAAAATGAACTTTGGCTCATTTCATTGAAGAGAAAAGTATAGATTTATTAAGCAATTATTTTATTGTATTATGCATTTAGAATTTTATAATATAATTTTTACTAGAAACTGTTTTGTTAGATACAATTCATTTAGAAATTTAGTAATAAGTATATAATATATACATATATATATTTAATAAATAATAATAAAAAAACATTTAATAATATAAAAATTTAACTTTTAAGATCGATCAATAGCTCACGGTAATTTTTTTTCTTCAAAACCAGTTAAATCGCAACTAATATTCCACCATAATTTTTGTAAATCTTCTTTATAACTATCATCACTTGATTTATCAATTTGGCAAAATTTATTAATGTATAAAGCGCTCTTACTTTCAAGTTCTGGCGATGTTGCTGCATAAACAATCACTGCCCCTCCCTATTTTTTAAATTTTTTCAAATAAAAGTTAAATAATTAAATTTAATTTCTCGTTCTCTTTCCTAAAAAGAAAATACGTTACCTGTTCGGGCGTTCTGGTAAAAGAGGCAAAAGGAAGAATGTATTTCATAAGAAGTTTAACATATGAAGGACTTTCTCTTGCCAACTCAGTTTGAGGCACGAATCCAGGTTCAATAGCAAATATTGAAATTTTTTTCTTTTCATCCTTTTCTTCCTCTAATAACTTATTTAATTGGTAAAAAAATAACATTTGAGCTAATTTAGTATTTTTATAAAATAACATACTATCATACCCTTTACTACCATCTAAATTTTCTATCTCTAATTTTGGTCCTATTTTGTTATGACCTTCACCCGGTTTATGTAAAGAACTATTAACAAAAATAATTCTAGAATTAAATGATTCCAATTTATTTTGTTGTTCGGAACTCCATTTAATTCTATCTAATAATAAATTTATTAAAAGAAAATATGATAAATGATTAGTTTGAAATGTCGTCTCTAAATTATCTTCGGTTGTACTTAATTTTGATTTAACTGTTGCAGCATTTAATATTAATATATTTAAAGGTAGAATTGGATCTCTCGTAAGTAATCCTTGTGCGAATGATTTAACTGAAGTAAATGATGATAAGTCAAGTTTTGATATTTCAATACTATGTTGTGACGGGATTGTTAAAGCTGAAATGGCTTTTTCTGTTTCTGTAACATTACGTACGGCAAGAATTAGATGATATGGTGTCGAATGTTGTATTAATTGTTTTAATGCCTCGAAACTTTTTTTTTTTTTATTCAAGAATTATCGTTAGAATGTAGTTAACGATTTAATAAAGAAAAAATAGGCATTTTATTTACCCTAATCCGGAGTTGGCTCCTGTTAAGATAATAACTTTACGTTCCTGAGACATTATTATATCAAGAAAAAAAACATGCGGTTTAAAAAAACGTAAACTTTATTTATATTTATATAAGAAATTTTCATTCCTTTTTCGGAACCAAAATTGATGATCGAATCACACGATAGAATATTCCCGATCCATTTGGATTGGGGCAATTACATGTGAGAATCATTTTATGTTACGTACCAAATTCACATGATCTTTAATGATATGCAAATATTTATATTAGTTTTTATTAGCAGGTAAAAATCAATATTTTCTCCCAACCCAATTTTGAGATGGATTGCCCTAATTTCGGATTATCGTTTCCTTACCCTTATACTTAAAAAATATTTATTATTTTATGATGTATTTTTTTCCTTTTTTATAAAGATTTACGTCTTAACTAATGAGCGGGATGTTAAGTTCCGGTATTCTAACTTGGCGGTTATTTCAACAATTATCCTAAATGTAAATAGATAATAGAATTCACAAGCCAAAGATAAAAAAAATTAAAAATATTTAAGAAATGTATTTTTATTGTAAGAAAAAATCTAACTATCAATAAATTGAATATAAACATTAATCTAATAAATATTTAATGCTTCATCTTTGAAATTTGCATTAAAATATTGATTGCAACGTTAACAAAATTGTCGAGTGCAACTAAAAAGTTAAGTTCTTACTACAGTTTGAAAGAAAATATATAACTATAACAGAAATGGTAAAAAAAAAAAAATTTTTTTTAGTAAAATCTCGAGTGGTGAACATATCGGAAGATCTTTGAAATCTGGTACATACATTTTTTTTACGACCGTCACAAACATTTCCAAATACACGACCACAAACTCAGATTATTTCCTTGGCCTTAGATCACCTCCTTACTATTCCAATACATTGTTCGATTTTCGCCTAAATAAATTGACATATACACAAAAAGGACCAAAGTTAGTAACATTCGGATTAAACATTGCATCATCTAGATTCTTGATATTATTCGTTATTATTAAAGGTTAATAACTGAAATAGCAAATAGTATTTAATTGTTAATAAATTTGATTCCAAATTTGTCAAATTTGCTCGAATCTATGCTGTCCGAAACCTGATGGTCTTGGCAATTGTGCCATTTATTAAGTAGTAAAGAATTATTGAAGAATAAATTGCTCAAATAATAGTAATTATTGATAAATTATTAATTAATAGTTACTCGGCTTCTGACGATCTATTTACTGTATATTATTAATTGACGATAAAGGTGCATTATTACATAATAAGTCTATTAACACTCCGGACTAATATGTACTTATTCTAGCTCTAATTCTAATTATATGACATGAAATAATTCGAACTTTATTGATCACTTCTTGGGGTAAGTGGAAATCGGAAGGGGAGATCCCTTGTGTAAGACTCATTTCCAAAAGCCAAAATCACCTTTTGATTATTTATTTATAAGGTAGATTAAGTTTTGTATAGGTTTATAGGTAGCTTGAAAATAAAGTAGATAGATTAGATTTGGTTTTAATAAATATTTTATATATAAGATACGAATCTTGAACTTCAGCCTGAGCTAAATGGTATAGTTATAAATGTCCGTTTAGAGAAGGAAAAAAAAACGCTTAAATTTTTTTTTTTATTTTATTTTTAAAATATAAACAAAGACGGGAGTAACCACCGTACGTGTATGTAAAAACACTAACCAAAACAGTGTAATTAATTCGAGCTCAGTCTTTATTTCTACGTATCCATTCTGACCCAATTACCCGCTTAAATCGAAAAAATCAAAAATTTTTTTCTTGACGGATGACTGATCACACGGAACATATGATTTTGGACCAGATAGGAATATAACTTTATATTAAGAAATGGATAGAACTTATATTTTATTAGGCATAGACATAATAGAAAAATAAATACATTAACAATATGAAGAATAATAAATAAAGAATGTAAAGAATGAATAAAAACGATAAATATGATTATAAATTTTTAACTACTACTATTTTTTGATAAACTTAGTACAAAACTTTAAATCGACCGTAAAGGAAATAATTTATAGAACTTAAGTATTTTGTTGCTTTAAAAGTACATCCAGAATTTCTTGAACATCTAAACATCCATTTTCTATAACTTTCTTATACCAATAAATAGCATTTTCTATATTTTTGGTAGTCCCTTCACCATGTTCATATAAATATGCAAGACTTTTTTGTGCATTAATATTTCCTCCTTCTGCTGCCAATTTATATAAATCAAATGCTCCTACTTTATCAATATCAGTTTCAATTCCTTTCTCATAATAATATCCAAGTTTATATTGAGCATCAATAAATTCTTGATCGGCCGATTTTTTATAAAACTCGAATGCTGTAGCTTGATTTTTCCAAACACCCTTGCCTAATTCATAAAATTCACCTAATTTATATAACGCGACTCTATTATCACTTTCTGCAGCCTTATGGTACCAATAATTAATTTTATCTAAATCATTTGTTATTTCTTCAAAGTTGTTCTGGAAATTATTTCCAGCTGCTTCATTGTACAATTCAAACCCCTTTTCCTTATTAATTTCAGTTCCAATACCATTTACATAACAATATCCAAGTTGAAATTTTGCTTCTATAAGTCCATTTTCAGCAGATTTTTTATAAAACTCAAATGCTTTAATTTTATTTATCGAAACACCCTTGCCTAATTCATAAAGTTCACCTACATTATATTGTGCATATATATTTCCATTTCCTGCCGATATTTTAAACCAGTAAAAACTTTTTTCTAAATCTTTATTTGTTCCTTCGCCATGTTCATATAAGGACCCTAATACATTTTGAGCGTAAATATGTCTTTTTTCAGCAGCTATTTTAAACAATTCAAATGCTTTTATTTTATTAATTTCAGTGCCAACGCCATTACTGTAACAATATCCAAGCTCAAACTGAGCTTCTAGATATCCTTGATCAGCTGATTTTTTGTAATATTCAAATGCTTTTTTTTCATCTTTTTCCACACCTTTTTCATATCTGTAACATTTTCCCAGATTGCATTGTGCTATACTATGTCCGTTTTCTGCTGCTTTATTGTACCAGTAAACAGCTTTTTCTAAATTTTTTCTTTCTTCATATAAAACCCCAAGATTATTTTGTGCAATGAAATGTTCTTTTTTGGCTGCTATTTCATATAACTCAAATGCTTTTATTTTATTGACTTCTGTTCCAATTCCTTTATCATAATAGTATCCGAGTATAAATTGAGCATCTAAATATCCTTGATCTGCCGATTTTTTATAATATTCAAAGGCTTTAACTTCACTTTTTTCAACTTCGATCCCATGCCTATAGTAATAAGCTAAATCATACTGTGCTACTTCATATCCATTTTCTGCTGCCTTGGTATACCAGTAAATTGCTTTCTTTAGGTCAAGACTTTTATATAAAGTTCCAAGATTATATTGTGCAATTTTATGTTCTTTTTCAGCAGCAATTTTGTATAATTCAGATGCCTTCGTTTTATTAATTTTAATTCCAATTCCGAGACTATAACAAAGTCCAAGTTCAAATTGAGCATCTAAATATTCTTGATCAGCTGATTTTTTAAAATATTCAAAAGCTTTATTTTCATTTCTTTCTATACCATTTTCTCCATTTACATAAACTTTGCCTAAATTGTATTGTGCGAATTTATTTCCATTTTCTGCTGCTTTTTCATACCAGAAAATAGATTTTTCTAAATCTTTTACCATTCCAATTCCATATTGATAATAATTACCCAACATATTTTGTGCAAGTGAATATCCTCCTTTAGAAGATTCAATATAATATTCAATAGCTTTCTCATCATCTTTATTAATTCCTATTCCGTTTTGATAACAAATGCCTAAATTATATTGTGCATATATATTTCCTTTTTCAGTAGCTTTTAAATACCATTCAAATGATTTCTTTTCATTTTTTGTTATTCCTATTCCATTTTGATAACAATAACCTAAATTATTTTGTGCACTAGAATTTCCCCCTTCTGCCGATTTTAAATAACATTCAAATGCTTTAAACTCATCCTTACTTTTTCCTATTCCAAATTGAAAGCAGAAACCTAAATTATTTAATTCAGTTAATTCTCTCTTTTTGGTATATCCCATTTGATTTTGATTAAAATTTTTATCTGGTGATTCAAAATACTTCTCTATTGTACTTAACTCATCTTTATATAAATTTATTTCTAATCCATTAAAATATTCAAAATGGTCATATGACATGATATTTTCCAACTTATTTGTAATTGAAACTTTTTTACTTACAATAATATCTCCATAATAATAAAATGATAATAAATATTTTGCAATAATAATATTAAGTAAATGATACATAGAATTAATAGTACCATCTTTATTATTAATAGATAACGAATATAATTTCAAAGAATTATTTTTATTTTTATCAATAAATTTGGTATCATCATCATCAAAACCTATTATAATATTATTATGTTCATAAAAAAATCCTATTAAACTTGAAAACCAATTTTCACTTTCTTTATGATTTTCCATTAATTTTAAAATTATTTCAGGATTTTTTTCATTATGATTTAAATAATCTTTCGTCCAATTTGTTAAAAAAATATTTTTAAATTTAGGATAATATTCTATTTTTATTATTTGACGATAAAAATCTTTTAAAAATTCTTTTAAAAAATTTTCATCATCTTTCGTTATATTATTATTATTATTTGAATACATTATGTTTTTTCAAGAAATTCTTTTTTTGTTGAAAAAAGAAATTTTTTTTTTTTATTTAATGCAATTTCGGAGTTTTCTGTTTCATATTCCGAAAAAAGAAATCTTGTATGGAAATCCTCATAAGTTGTGTCGCACCAATCAAAAGTATTTGTATGACTGGTGTTATTTACATTTGGTGTTATGAGAATATTGTATTATGCTTTGTATCGGTTATCAGAAGAACTTGAAAGGAATTAAAAAATCGTCAATTTATGCAAAGAATGACTATTTGTGTATTTTTTTTTTCTTAACGAATCAAAATATCATGGTTAAATAAAACTCGAATATAGAAATATTTTAAAAATCATAATTCATTATTAACCTTATTGCCTCGTTCGAAGAATTCACGTCGTGACTGTAGTATATTCACTTCGAATATTTTTTTTATTACTTATTTACCTTATTTAAAATTCTATTAATTTTGGAAGAATTTATCCAAACATTTTAATGCAATTTTAACTGATTAATTTTTGAATTAAGATGTGCTATTAACGTAACTATATATACACGAATAAAGTAATATATATTTGATTTATGATAAAAGAAATTAAGCCGACAAGAATTTTTTTTTACATACGAGTTCAAATGTATTATATGTATTATGCTGCAATTTCTACCGATCAGTAAAATCGTAAAAACTAGATTATTTTGGTGCTAAATTGTAACTCAAACCGATTTCAAGAAAATTTTGATAAATGGCCCAATGGAAATGAATTAATAGACAAGTTTATACAGGATGCTCAATGAATATACTCGTGGTATATCACATGTTTGACACGGCACGATGACACATTTTTTTCCAATCGATAACTATTGAATTAATCGAAAAATTGTCATATATATGCTTGACCCGAAATTTGATTTTTTTTTTTATGATATGTTATCCTACAGCCAAATGGTGATGATATTTTTTTATTAAAAGCTATAAATAAACTACAATCATATTATTTTAAATAACATGTAATCAATAGTTTGTTGTATTTATAAGCATGATCATCAGCAATTATTTGATCGGGGTTAGAATATCACCAAACTGTCATGTTATTTTCATATTCATAGTAAAAATGACATCATTGATTACATACATCATGTTCGGCTGCGTTAATACGTAAGTTTAAAATTTTTAATAATTAATATACACTTTTATGATTACATATTTTTTTACACTTTATGCCTGCTTCAGTTATTTATTTGATGAATTCAGTTAAAATATTTATATTTAAATATGTCAAAAATGACTTATTAAATAAATGCATCAATACACGTTAAATAATATTTAAAATAAAGTTGGGCACGTTAATTAACAATCTATCAATAAGTGTATTATCAGTAGAAGTTCAGAAAAAACCTTAATCGATTAATAATCGATTAAATTAATCAGTTAAATTTAATTTATAGTTAATTAATCGATCAAACCTTAGTCGATTCCAAATATTTAATGAATAAGTAATTTTTTCATTCATCTATTTTGATTTTTTTTAAAATAATTTAACTTTAAATAGGTGATGTGATGTAATGCTAGCTTGGTAAAAGATTCCAGATTCAAAATATTATTAATTATATTATCCTTGAAAAATTTGTTTGACCATAGTGAACAAATATTCTTTTTTTCAAATTATTACAGTATTTAAAGTATTTAACTAAATTAATCACTATTTTCATTTTTATAATTTCATAGTAATTTTTCATGGTAATTATATGATTATCAATTTATCATTTGTACCATTTAGCAAATAGGGATCTATCCAGGTGATTCCTGGATGCATCCAGGGTAACTACACTGGATTTTTGATCGATACGTCGTAAAGTGCACGATATAGAGGACGACTTTATCTAGTGACATTATTAATTTTGGGCGCAGTATTATATTTAATTTAGGTGTTTAAAATTTTTAAGTGTTTAAATTTACTGAGGTCCGAAATGACCTTAAACTAGCGATTGGTTAATTAATTTAATTTACTGAATTCCGGAATGACGTTAACTCTACCATGATTAATTTTATTGGTCGGAGAATAACTAGGAAATTTTATAATTTGAGTAAATTTTTATATGTAGATCATTTTGAACTGAGATACGAACCACAATTTTATTTCAAAGGAAATTCCGACACAATTTTTGGAGAAATTAATTTTAGCAATTTTGGAAATTTTTATTTTAATTGTTGACTTAATTTTTTAATTGATTTGAAATTATAATTTAGAAGTTAATTTGTTATTTTAGAATCAGATCGTCATTTAAATAAGCTTTATTTTACATAACAGAAATTCTTTTCTTTCTTAAAATTTCATTTTGATTTTAATTTTTGTTTTGTCTTTTGAACTATAAAAGCTCTTATTGTGCACCATCTAAAATTGATTCAACAAATCATGCACGTAAAGGTGCCCTACAACGCCCACTTGCCAACTTGGCTTAAAAACTATGTCGATCATTTTGCGGGGTGACTGTCGTTTGTAAATCTATTTATAATTTGAAACATCAACATATGTCTGTTTTTCTTTGATCATTCTTATTTTGGTAATTTTTAATGAACTTTTTTTTTTCATCACAATAATTCATTGTCTAATGAAATTATGGGCGTAAATAAAAAAATAACTAATGTAATCATTCTCTTAAAATAATTAATATGTATATAAGTCACTTTTCTCCCCGCGAAAAAATTTTTATAAAATATATACTATAACTAACAATAAATATGGTATATTCTGATTACAAATATTACAATAATTTAGATGATCCAGAAAATGATGAAGACTTTATAAATGGAGTCAAAGAAGTCTTGAAGCAACTTAATATTACAGAAAACATAAATGATATAAAGGATTTTGTTACACTAATGAAGTTTATAAATAGATTAATGACAAAACATCATAATGATTTAGAAAGTGTTATTGCGGATACTGGGGAACCATCATTGCTCGTTAAATCCGAAATTTATAATGAACGACATATCAAGTAGAAAAACGATGAGTTAATCCAGAAGATTATTAATAAATGTTTAGAAAATAACGATAAAGGAGAGCACAAATTTATGCTTGTGGTTTCGCATTTACTTCCAATTCTAGTTAAAAAATCCTATAAAAACCTAGTAGACAATCTCGCGATACAGCTCAACTACAAAAAGATCCCGCAAAATTGGTGCAAAAAATTGGGTGAGGACAATAAATTCATTTCAATTCGTGAACATCTTTGGGGATATAGGTTTCCTAGTTCCAAGAAATCACTCTCGTCCACATTTGACAGGTTTGTATATATCATCCCTTTCACTTTCTCTTAATAAGTTCAATAGGATCACGCATAAATCGCTGTTATAATATAAATTAGATTTAAAAAGGAACCTCGACATTACGCAACGTTGTGTTATGTACCATTACCTGGCCTATGTACCTTCCATGAGGATGCTAGTCGTAATCGTATTTATAGTATCTTGTTCCCCCGTGGCACAAGTCCCTTTATTCGAATGGTAATGTCTAATAAAGATGAGCTATTTTATGATGGACATGCTTATTCCAAGATGATTGATTCTCCATTTTTTCATGCTATTGTCAAGTTCAAGTGGCATACCTTTGCACGGTGGTACTTTCTTACATATTTTATTGTCGTTGTTACTTGGTTCTCCCTTTTAATTGCATCATCCACTGTTGATTTAAATAAAAATATGGAAATTATCAATTTAAATAATGATTATACCGATAAAATTACTATAGCAGCAACTAAAAGTTATATGGCAGCAGTTACAATGATTGGCAATCTTAATGATGCAACAAATACTTTTGTTAACAATATGACGATTGCAGAAGCATCTAAAAGCAATATTGAGTTGATTACGAAGGCGATCAGCAATGTGGCAGCTTCCAAAATTTATAATGTGAACTTCACTTCAGAAATTAACAAAGCGGCAATTGAGGCAGTTTATAACGCAATAATTTACAACACGACGTTTACTGCAGGAATCAGCAACTCAACAATTACGACAATTAACAATAACTATGTTACAGAGATAAATAAAGCAATTAGCGAAATCGACATCACTGCGATTAATAAATTAATTAACAGCACCGATGGTAATCAAATAATAATTGCATGCACAATCATAGAAATTATTATTATTTTTCTATTAGTCCGGCTTCTTATTATATTTAAAATAAATGGCTTGGCTAATCGAGTTCTTAGAGTCCCTTCGAGCTACGTCATAAGCACAGGAGTTCTTTTTAATCTTATAGTTGTAATTCTAAAGCTGTCCCCTCCTGAAGCCTTCAGATCCTTAAAGAATTTTTTTCTGGAACATGGTTATGATTGTATCTCAGTTTTCCAAACTATCACAATCTTTATTTCAGTATTGTGTATAGTTGGATATCTATGTTTATTCAGGAATATTGGACTTTATGCCTATAGTAAGTATCGTAATAATTTTTCTCTATAAATGTTGAGCAAATCTATTAATTAACCACTCTATTATGCAGTTATTATGCATATTTGCAGAAGGGCTATATGTATACTTTTTCTTTTGGGCATACTTTTGTTAAATGTTTCTTATGCAACAATGCGTATATTTGCAACGACCATACCTGATTTTGATGATGATAAAAAAATGTATAATAAAAATACGTATGATAATTACATTAAAACATCAAATAACGTTTGGTCAGGGTTTTTAAATGCTAGTTACGACTATATGTATCCATGGGATAGTCGTTACTTTGTGTCTATAATGAGGATTGCTTTCTCATTGTTTGCATCCATCATAATCATGAACCTTTTGAGTATGTATATCAAGTTCATCGAATCTTTCTTTTTGTCTTTGCAGATTCTTCCTAATATTTTTTTTCCTTTGCAGTTGCATTTGTAAATAATGTCTATGAAGAAGTATACAAACGTAAGTACACTGAATGGACCATGTTTCGGGCGCGAGCAATTGCTTACATTGAACTTACATGTTCAGTACCGAATAATTATTCTTTCTCAAGTTTTTGTTTTATAAATCGTAAAAATAAGTATGTTCAAAATTAGTATAAACGTATTTCTTTATATAATGTTACAGAATTGTATGATTTATTATATTGATTTGCTTATTTACATTATTTACAATTGCAGGGATTATTTTCCTCCAACCATTATTTATGAAGCCAATACTGAAGAGTTTAAAAAGTGGCATGATGAATTACCTAATCTTGAGAAACAGTTGTTCGATTCCACTTATCCGATATAGGACGAAACGGTTTATTTTGTAGAACTTTTTTCTTTTGAAGACGTTTAAAAAAACAACCTTTATTAGTTAGTCATTTCTAATAAAATTTACCAAAAAAATTTCTTATTACCCAATATCATATGATATTTGTACATTAAATAAAAACTTTGATCTCTCTTTCAATTTAGTTTGGTTAAGAAATAATATTTTTAACAATTTAAAAAATAATTCACACCAATCAGATTTAATAATATTGTCGACAATCGTTTATCAAACATTATGGTCATTATGCGTTTATTCAATAATAATATTTCACCGAAATCGTCTTACCCATAATCAACTTGTCTACCGACAGTCATTTTACTGACGGGATCAATTCACTTACAACTTTTTCGCCGATGGTCCTGTATGTCCGTCTTGGTCCTGAGGATCGACCAGTCATATAAAAGACCGCGGTCCGAGAAGTTACGTGATAATTCTGGCCGGCACTATAATGTTGGCCGGAATTATACCAGGCCGGCGTAGGACCGGTCTTTCAGGACCGTAAAGTATTTTTAACCAAGAGGATTATATCACCGATAAATACTAAATAAATAACTGAATTTTTTTTTTATTAATTTTCATTATCCAACATTATTTCATAATATAATAAATACTATTTATCATTTCAGTATCATACTGCTTATAAGCACAATGCTAAATGCACTTTATTTCATAGAAATTTCATATTTGAACACTAGAAAATAAAAAAAATAAATATATAGAATGGATCAAGACTTAATATTAAAATTAAAAAAATATTAAATACTAAAAAGAAACAAAAATATCAACTTAATAATAATTGTAGCTACCGACGTTATTAATTCCTAAAATAAATAAAAAAAATTTGGTGAATGATTTTAGGTGTAAAATAAATCGGACTCCATAATCTTTTATAGTATTTATATGTTCTATTGCTGAAATTTAATCATTCCATGGTAAAAAACAAAAAAAAATCATGCTTATAAAAGTACATAACTGTACATTTTTGTAATGCAAACGCGATTTAGTTTTTGACGTAAAAATATGTGATTTATTTAAATTAAAAAGATCGAATTTCACTAAATGAATACTTATCGTTGGAATTAATTATGGCATATGGAGTTTATACGTAATCCGTAATGCCGTAATTCAAATACCGTAAAATAGAAATATTATGCGATACAAAAAAAAAGAAATCCATTTGAATATATCAACATTGACGTTATAGATTTATAATTTATGACATTATTGAATATGTATTTATGAATAATATATGTCATATTCAAAATGCCGAATTAATAATTCGATAATTCCGAACGTATAACTAAATGTAATTACGGGCGCTCAATTGAAAAAATTCGAATAAAGCGATGCAATTTAAAACATCACATAAGACAATGAAACAAATAATTAAACCCACTCTCCTTACCCTAACAAGACCGTGCTTGCAATAAAAAATCTTTCTCCACTGCTAAAAGCCAACTAGCAGTTGATAACTCAGAAGTAATTACTAATTATTGCAAAAAACACTGAAAGGATTCCGGTCAAACGATTATACTACTACAAAAGAATGAATATTATTTATAAATATGATGGTCCGAAGAAAAATACTATTTAAAATATTAAATTCTTTGATATTTAATCTAAGAAAAGGAAAGATTTACTACTTACCTAGCATCTAATTTCATCGACTTGAACATCAAAGTTAAATTAATGATGAATTTCAAACTTTATCTCTTCTTTTCAACTAAAACCTTAATGTCAGGACTTAGCAGGAGTTATAAGCATCATTGAACGGAATAATGAAACCCAAAGTCCGTAGAAGTTATTGCATTGTAATGCATGTAATAATTATAGTATGTAGTACATCAGATGTTATCAGGTGTATAAAGTTAAAAGTTTCCGAATATACAGTACATAAAAAGGTAAGATCTCGGAATTAGAACCAAAAAGTCCTATAGGTCTTTCTGGTCCTTCCTTTTTTGGATACTTCTTTAAACTCATTACTCATTAGTGCACTTATTTGTTTAAATTAAACTTATCTATTGCTTATCCATAAATATTCCCTGAATATCCGGATTTTACTACCCGGGTTCCGGATTGACAGTTTGTATTTATGCCGAATATCCATTAAAAATAAAAATTTACGGCAGCCGGCACTATTGTAATTCCGGCTTTGAAGAAATGTGGAGTTCGTGTGCTGATCACACCCAACTTATTTATGTTGTTCCAGAATCCCGCTTTAAGGGTAAATTCTTTCTCTTTAAATTTGTTGAAAAAAATAATATAATGTTAGAAAATATTATTAAAATAAAAAACAATATGCATAATAATAAATTTCTAATTGAAAGAATTTTTATAGTAATGTTCTACGCTGTGAATAACGCCTCAAAATAGAACATGGAACCGTCCATTATTTTATTAATACATACAAGTTTACTTATTATATCCTCTTTAGTCAATATGAAACAAAAAGGTTAATAAATACTGATTATTCATCTATAACTGAATATTTTTGTTTTTTTTTACTCACCATATTAATATAATAATTTTGTGATATACAATCGTAGCAAATCAGCGTTTAAAAAGTTATGCATTACAACTTATTAATTCGTATCCACTCAGTAGGTACAATAATATTTAATTGGCCACGTACCACCCAAATACCAATTTTTAATCGGGATAAGAATAATAAATAACGAAAAACTCAATCACATTGAAATAAACTCCACATGCTTTTCGGAGAACCACGCAGACGCAAACAGCATGGCTACCTTTTTAAGCAGGTTGTTAACGACTTCATTTCATCAATATCCATGGAAATATATTAACTCGTTTATTTCGAAAGTAGAATCGTTCAAAGCACTAATATCCTTATTTGTTCTTCCATTTAAAGTAAGTTCAAAAATAACGTCATTTACCGCCATTTTTGCAAATATTGTAAAATCTTTCAATAAGTAAAATAATATTCATCGTAAAAGATTATTCCATTGGTATTTAATATCAAATCTCACAAATAACAAAGTATATTTAATAATAAGACTTAACAGGAATTATTATCAAAGATATTTTTCTTTTTTTTTTGACAGATGGCGTATTTCATTGTCAATATATATATGTATGAAAAATGTTAGATATATTTAGGCAAGAATGAATATTCTTTTCAAAGAATAATTTTTCGTTCTTTTTAAGGTAAGTCATTGTAAAGATTACCATAACTATTTTGATTTATAATTATTTATTTTCTGTGTCCATAGATCGTTGTAAAAAAATTGTAAAAATTGTATAATACGATCTTTCGATTATTAATTATTATTACTAATTCTTTAAATTTATACCTTTTCAGAAAAGTTTCTTTGTTTGTTTGTCAAATTCGGGAACTTCAATGCATGAATGAAAGACTTATTTCACGTGATAGTGTAACATGGATTTAAAAAATGCACAGCAAGTTATATGTTTACGATTGATCGAGTCGAGTTCTTTTAGTAAATGACATTTCCTTCTTTGAATGTTTTATTATTCATTGCTTTTATATTGTTTATAAATTTAGATCTAAATCTGTTAAGTGTTTTCGATTAGCTGAAATTGAGATAATCTTTCAACTTTTTCAAAAATCAATACCGTACATGTATGAAGAAAAAATAAAAAAATCTATTCATTTATTTATTAACAATATTTCATTTCTTTCCATTTACAATAATTACAAAAAAGTTTAATTTTTCTCTTTTAAAGGGAACTATAATAAGAAATGTTTATTAAACCATGAAATCGACTTGATAGGTAACGGTTCGCTAGCCGATTAGAAATTAGAAATTTTATCCCGTATCAATCAGCCATATTATTTGATCCTATATATAATAACAACAAAGATAATTATTCATCGCCACACTATAATTATTCATCACCACAAATTGATAATTATTCATCACCATAAAAAAAGAACTCTCCCAACAACCTCCAAAAACACCTTAAATCTAAAATAATAAAACCACACGCGAAAACTCGCGATACGGTCGAAAGTGTGGGAAGAAAAATTACCTATAAATTAATCTAAAAATACATTAATATCTAAACCCAAAGCCAAGTTATTTTCGAACTGGCTTTCTGAGCCCATTAAATTATAGGATCAAATAATTTGCTTTAAATGGGTAATTTGCTTTAAATGGAATTCTTTGTTCCATTTATATCACGTGAACAGAATGTTCAAGTTTTTTCACCCATGGAACACGGATAAAATATAATCTAATCTCAGAAAAAAAATAAACATTATTGCTAAATTAAATTTGAATAAAAAAAAAAAAAAGAAAGAAAGAAAATTAGTAATATGAATTTATTGAATTTACGATGTTCCAATACATAAAATTTCGGTATTGAAAATTTTTATTTTTTTTTTTTTATTACGGAGGAGACGATAAACATTTCCGTAATAATATAATAATTGAATAATTGAGAAAAAAAAAATAATAATATTGTAATTATAACTTACATTAATATTTGTTTATTGATAAATAATAATTTATTATTAGTTGACTCTATTGGTAGAAAAATTTGATTTTGTGCGAGAAAAATTTTTCGTTGGTTCACAAATTGTTTTAAGAGATGAAACTTTTGTTTTNTTTTGTGTGTGGCTGCAAGATATTTTTAAAATTTTATATATATAAAAATTAGTTATAAGGCAAGAATTTTTTTTTAATAAACAAGTATTACGGAGTTAGAAATTTCGCTATTTATTTATTTTTTTTTTATTTTAGGGACTTTATTCCGAGACCCATAGAATTATCAATATAAAAATTTTCAAATATCACCAAAAAAATACACAAAAAAACACCCCCCTCACAAAAAAGGTAATTTCCAAGAATGCAAGATGCGTGTGATTACGTGTGATTATTTAGATAGGTTTGACAATTTCAATAATTCCTTTTAAAAAATTTTTCTTTTCCGAAACATCTCATTTTTTGCAGTAACACAAAACAAAATATAGTAACTTTAAAAGGTCTAGGTTTGGATATATTTGTATATTTATTTTCAAACCTTAAATATAAACTGTACGGTTTCATGGTTCTCATACAGATCTTTATCAAATAAAGTAAAAAAAAAACATAATCCGGTTTTTTTACAGTTTTTAATATTGTTACATTATTTTAGAGCTGATTCTTATTTTTTTCTCTTATGCATTGCATTAAAACATGATCTACATTATATATGTCTAAATATTTTTTTTTTATTTTCTTTTTTTTTTTAAAAAAAAAACAAAGAAAAAAAATAACGTCATTTTTTCCCCATAAAATACAGATTACGATTTAATTTCTTTGTTATCAGAAAATTTAGATTTTGGGGAAAAGTACAATATAATTTTCCTTGAATATAACTAGTTTAAGCCCAAATATTTTTTTCATAATGAACATTAAGCGTCGCGTAAATTTTTTTCCGTAAAAGGTTTATGCCACATTAATACATGAAAGAATATTACAAAATTTGTACCATTTACGCGTTTTAACTTTATTTGAAATTTTCATTTGTACAAATTGATATAACCAATGCATCGATTTTTTTAATGTATTGTATTGATATTGTTTATTTATTGCTTGTTAAATCCCAAAAAGAATTATAAACTAAGCCTTAAAAATTTTTGAATTGAATTAAGTGGGGGACTTTTGCTCTTAAAAGTTGCACAACAGATTTGCACGTCATAAAGGATTTTTCAAAGCCTATTAAAATCACAATTGTGCAACTCTAAAACCGTCAAAGCACCCTTTTCTGTAGTATATGACATCGAATTTATGGTCTTTAAAAAGATGTGGAAATTTTTTTTTGTACTAATGTAACATATAATCATTCATCTTGATTCGATAAGAGATTTTAATTTTTTTCAATTTTTGTTAGTTGTCTAGGACTATTTGGAATTCTAATATTGGTAATGTGTGTAATTTGTTTATTATTTACATAAATCATCACAAATCAGAATTCATTGTCGTAATTCGTAATCTTCGAAATTATGGTACGGGATGAATGGCTGATGATATTTGTGTAACATTTGTCAAAAAAGGCGAATCATTATAAGTATTATTATTGCACGGCTGGGGAAACTTTTTTTTTTTTTTTTAAT